GACATTTACTCTGCCGTAAATTAATATAGACAAATTTTAGAAATGAAACTTTAAATAAAATATAATTTTTTTTAGAAAAATGCAAGTTTTGGGATCTCTATTATACATATTTACTAATTATAAGTGACAGCCATTTAGGCACAGAAATTTTTCTGTGAGACTCTACGGTCATTTCGAAATAGACCCCACCTGGTCTGCAAGTAAAAATAACTGTCCGCCTCTGCCACTGAATTCAATCTTCACCGACACCTAGCTCTAGCCACGAAACCAAATCTTCAGCCAGTCAAAGTAAATTTACATTATCTCAAAATGCTCTCTTTGGTTTTGAAGTACTTTGGCCGGAGTCTGAAACCGCGACTTCCATTTCACATGTAAATTCTTATTGCCAAGTGTCTATCCTTACAATTTTATAAACGTGTACACAGAGCGTTTCACAACCAGTCCGCCATACACTGGGGAGGACACGGAATGTAAATTTGAGTAAAGCAAAATGTTGATGTAACATTGGTCCTATTTGCAGTCAATGCGGATCAATGGGAGCATGAAGGTGTGTAGGGAGAACAGTACATGAGAGCATTTATTACCACATTTCAGGAAATACATCTTATAATTGTTAAAAATGTCTGCTACAATATTAAAAGCACAGCATTGCAGTTTAGTGTCCGCTGAATAAGTCCATTATGTTGTTGCATGTAAGCGGCAGTATCCATAATACGATATGGGAGTTCTTCCCTCATGTGTAATTTGGTCCCGTACGTCACCTCCTTCATGAGACCTCATAAAATAAATCGAGCAAATTTAGATTCAGAGATCTTGGCAACCAAGGTATCAGACCACGACAACCAATCCAATGATTTCAATGATGCTGACTCGATTACGCCGCAACTTGACGACCAAAATACAGACGCGCCACATCACGCTGAAAGAAGATCCCATACCTTGTCTCAAGACGCACGTCCTCCTCCATCACAAAGTTACGTTTTTCTCGGTGTATGGCAGACCAATTTTTAAACATCCTGTACTTAATAGCACCTAAAAACTGGGAAAAATTACAACTTACTCTGAGACAATAATAATTAGTATAATTAAACTAAGTTAGTGTAAATGTGGCTTAAAATATTAACAACATATCTAACAACACTTTTATAAATTGGCTTGTGTACCAAAATTATAAATCACTCTGATAAAACAAGAGCTGTAATAGAAATAGTGTATAATTATTGATACAACTCGATTTCGTTATCGGACACAAATAACAATACCGTCGATTAACGTCTTCTGTGCTGTTATGTCATGTAGTCTTGTAGGTGGTTACCAGCATTTCTGAGAAATCTGTACCACCTCTTATCTTCATATCTAATTTCTGAAAAAGGAAGCAATTTCTCAAGTAGTGGTCAAAAGTCAGAAAACCACAATCAACATATTTTAAGAAGAATCTTAAATAAGACAAGTACTAACATTTAAAGAATCAAGACATCATATGGAGTATTATATTCCTTTGTGCCATTTCATTTAAATTACCTTCAATTATTTTTTGTATCTGATCAACCAAAACACTCATCAAATATGAACGATGATTTCTGAAAAATGTCGCTTGTTCCTATGCTTCCATACGGAAACGCCTTCAAAAAACCCCTGGTAATATAACTTGCGACAATTAAAATACCAACTCCATTATTCCGAGCCAGTTCTGGCCACCTCCTGTCCCCCCAAAATCCATTTACTTCAAGCTGTGTCTATGCGAGTATTTATTTAATGTTTTTTCATGTTTGCTCACTAGAAATCACAGCGAATAACTGTTTCTCTGCGAGAATCCCTAATTCAAAAAACGCCAGTTGTATACATCGACATACGATGTCTACTGTATGATATTAAAATTGTCTTTCACAACTCTAATGGCAAACGCAGACATGTTATAATGTTACCCTTTTCATTTACTTTAGAAATTAATTACCTGAGAACTCCGTTAATCGATTTGTTCACTTCGTTTCCTTCAGCACCTGTCGAAACCTGTCCAGAAAGATGTCAGCATGTTTTGGGGTGAAGATTAGTGCTGGACGCAACCTAATTGAATGTTCCCCACATCCACCTGTTTGTATGCCTGTTAAATGATGCAGAGTAAAGGCTGAATGAATTAGAAATTAAAATAGAACGAAATGCAACGACAGTTTCAGACAACGACCTCACCCTTTTTCTTAAGCCTGGCCACGAGATCATCTCGCAGCTTGGTGGAAGGGCAGGAGATTGCAAGGAAGGTTCCGCGGCCTCGTGCGGCATGCAACAACTGAGGAAATTCCTGTTCGAAGCTACGGAGTCCTGTGAGTAATTTTTTCCCACTCTTCTGTACCAGATCCAATAGCGAGTCTCTGCGCACCACCTCCAGCACACCTTGCAGAAGCAGAAGCTTTGCTGGGTCACCCATCCAAGTGTTGAACACACGGTATGGTTGAGATGGCCTGAGATGCAAGGCATTTATCAGTTCTGCTACTGAACGGACATACAAAGTAGACGAGCAGATTGAGAAAGACGAGATACAATTTGTTCACGTTTCTTTACGGACATGAAGGTTTGTGTCCTCACTGTCATGTAGTTCAACACACAAAAGATTATGCATGCACGTACTGATACACAAAGATGGCCGTCTTCTGGGTTGTTGCGCCATGTAGCCTGGTAGAAGCACGGAAAACTTCTGCCAGACTATTGGGCGCTATAACAACCCAGACTCGCCACGGTGAGAACCTCAGATCCTACATGCCGAGACGTACTTGAAATCAGGCTTGTGATAATAGCCTCCAAGCTGCATCTTCTTGCTGAAGGTGACAACATCAGGTGGTCCATCCAAACCAAAGTGCTCATGACACCACATCTTACCAGTAGGACCACCACCGGTCTGCACTTCGTCAATCAAGAGCGCAGCTCCATTCTGGAAGCACACCCACCAACACAACCACTTATCAATATCCCTCACCTCATATTCAATAAGCCTCAACTTGTAAGCAAACTCAGTTTTTTAAATTAAGTTTTGTACGGAGTTGTATTTTCTTCACGCAAACCAAATATCTCACACAACTCGCCTCAAACAATTCAATCATCCACTGGATGAGGAGTAAAAACTATAAGTTCCCAGTTAAATAACTTCAAACTCCTATAATTGCTGTTACCTTACAATGCCTCATTTTATCCTGCGGAGCATTACTGTTACAGCCATGCCTCATACCTTCTTCACAACACGCTGAAGCTCCTGGAAGAACTGGGGAGATGCCTCATTGTCACCTCCCTCAGACTGGATAGGCTCAACAATAATGCCAGCCACTGGGCTGCCTCTCTTGCTGAACTCGGCAAACAGATCTTCCACCTTAAATAGTTACCCCATATCAGAACGTGCAATTTTCCTGCCATTAGGAACAAACTTCAATTCTTACTAAAACAATATCACAATGTATAGTGAAATATGGGAGTCAGTATTTTGTCTACGAACTGGATAACTACGGTTTGATTTCCAGTAGGGGCAAAGGACTTCCCTTCTAGCCACCGTATCCATACTGGCTATGGGACTCGCTCAGCCTATCCGTTTACGTCTAGGTCTCCCCAGCGGTCTCTTCCCCTCAGGCTTCCCGACTAATACCTGGTGCACACCTCGTCCCATCCATGCGAGCTACATGCCCCGCCCATCTCATTCTTCTCGACTTAACCAAATATCCTCCTCGACACCCTATTCTCAAACACCTGCAATCTGTGTTCCTCCCTCTGAGTGAGAGACCATGTTTCGCACCCATACAAAACAACAGGCAAAATTATTGTTTTGTGTACTTTAATTTTCATGTTCTTAGAAATCAGACGCGAAAACAAAAAATATTTTGAACTGAGAAGTAGCGAGCGTTTCCAGAATTTAGTCTCCTCCTAACTTCCTCATGAGTGTCATTTTGATTTGTTATTGTCGTTCCCGAATATTTGAACTTTTTTTCTTCCCCGCACAGAAAAACTAATGTTTCCAATATTTTGGAATATACTATGATGGTCACATGTATTAATATAGAGAAACAATGTTTAGTGCGCAGAACAATGACAATCCAGAATGAGAATATATTATTCGGAGACCATCTACCTCAGCCAAGCATCGCTTGTCTTCAGCATCATTCTCACGCTGATTCTCATGTAGAGGGTAGCGGTACTGTGGAAATGACGCGATGGGCCAATCAAATGCTGGTATGTCAATCTTGTGGATATATTTTGAATGTGTCGTTGAGAGAGCACCCAAGGTGCGTCCATGGAATGCTCCTGAACAATAAAATCAAACATCGAAATACGCTGATTTACAAAATCTTAGAACATGATAAAACACTTAAACATACACGTTACACGTAAATGCAACTCACTTAATATAAAATATTTTTATGGTGGTCCACCATATAAAATGGTTTGGTACTTGTGGATTATCGGGACACAAAACGGGGGAGACAAATGAATGTTTCATTGTAGAAGTACCTGACCGTTCGTTCACAACTGTAACTTATGTCATTTATCTACACACATTAACCTAACCTAAGCTAAGCTAACCTAATGCAAACTAACCTAACCTAATGTAACCTAACCCAACCTAACCTATTTTTAAAGTGATGTGTCCCGATAACCTACAAGTACCAATGTTTTAATTGATCATAAATGTATGTCGGCAGTCACCTTGGAATGACATGACTGAGAGAGTTGGAGACCCTGGGGACTGATTCATCATACACGACTCGGTCTCTTCCTGCGAAAAGTCAGAAGAGCCACCTCGCTGTTTGCGTTGATACCAAATGAATATATTTTTGAAGGCATTCTCATTTGAGCAGGAACCACACATCATTGTGGTCACATGGTTCAACCCAGACGGGGCCACCTGTTACCACAGAAACAATGTATTAATTCCTTTAGAAACAAAGCACCTGAACATTACGCCCCCACCCTCTTACTTTAAGCCTACGTAATCAAACTGCATTGAGAGTTTCTGTCTTATGTCATTTTATGTTGCCACAACTACAAAGATATACAATGCTCATTAAAAATTTGGCATTCTTAATAATATGCACCCTATCTTTATCTGCACTGACTGTACAACTGTTCCCATCAGTTTAATTTTTTTTTTAAACTTACCTGCAACAAAATGTTCTTCAGTTTTTTAGGCCAGTCAGCACCAGGAAACACGCCCAAAGCTGGACGATTCACTATTGTTTTCTAAAAGAAGAATATGCCGACGGTAGAGATGAGAAATGCACACAGAATTTCAGTTAAAGAATCCCTTCCCTTCAGGTAACTAACAACTTGGTAGAACAAGAGGATGAAGTTCAGAAAAATAAACTTCAGCACCCTCATTCTGTAAAAAGTGGATCTTACGTCCACAGAATCACCCGCTGACATACGCCACATGTGATATTCCTCTACTCGTCACTCGTTTCTGAGTGTGGAGATCGGAACGCACGCAAACACTTGTGTAGTAACTGACGCTGCTTTACGACATCCTGAAGACACAACACGTGTGTAACTCCAAGGCATGAAATCATGAGATTCTAGTCTTACAACTGCGTCAGATGGGCTTACGGAAACAGCGTTAAATAATAGTTTATTTTTTGCTTGTAAAAATGTATTCTTTATGGTACAAGCAAAGTGTATAAACACTTTTTTACATTGAACCAGTACTTATATAACGTGGCGCAAACAGTAATCTGACAGAACTTCACAAAAAAACATCCATTCTCTTTCCAAATCTGCATATAATTATACAGAGTGTCCACAAAGTCCCTTCAGGGTTTTGAAAAATTGTGGCACACAAACAAATTGAGCTAGCCACATGCGGTTTGCGGCAGATTACAGTGAAACTCTGGAAGACGGTGCTCCACCTCATTGGGGTCAGCAGGTACGCACGTACCTAGACAGGACATTTCCAGGAAGATGGATCGGCAGAGACGGTCCAATGTCTTGGCCTCCACGTTCACCAGACATAACACCACTGGATTTTTTCCGAACACCAGTTGATGGACTTGATGACCTGAAGACCCGTATAAGGAATGCGATCTCGGCTATTCCAGCGGACATGCTCCACAGAACATGGCAAGAGCTCGAATATCGCCTGGACATTCTCCGTGCTACCAAGGGAGTCCACATCGAGGTCTACTGAGGTCAGTAAAATACTTCCAGTTTCACTGTAATCTGCCGCAAACCGCATGTGGCTACCTCAATTTGTTTGCGCGCCACAATTTTTCAACACCCCGAAGGGACTTTGTGGACACACTGTACTTCTATCTCACCTGATGAAATATTACATATTAATCTGATACAGTATCATTAGGAGCATTTGTTTTTTTTATGACACCAGATGAATTGGGAACAAAAATAAAAGAAGTGGCCATGATCTATTTTAAGGTACTTCCCTAACATGTCCTTGACCGAGATCCAAACACAAATAAAATGACTTCGTAACTATTATTCTTACAGTCTCTACACCGGAGACACCCAACTCACCACATTATATGGATCATTAAGCAACTGCAGAAGATCTGGATGGTTGTATCCCAAAGGCATGGAAGAGATCTGCGTGTATACGTCTAGCAGAACATTTCCATCTACATCTACAAGGTAGTTCCCCAAAGAACGCTCATAGTCTGCAAAGAGCTGTACTGATCCAGCTTGCTGCAACCAAAAGGAAGACAAAATTGCTGAAATAAAAATAAGTTCACGTTACGGGCAATTTCCTGTGGTATGTCATTCATATCGAATATCATGAAAATCAGTCAACAGATGCATTGACACGAAGTATAATTATCACCATAAGTAACAATTAATTTAATCTTCTAGTCTCTTTATCATGGTTATAAAACAGACAAAGCCACATTTGATATTTGGAACAAGGGATGTTTGAAAACAGGATTTGTAGAGCTTCACCATTAAAAAAATAAAGCATCTCAGAGGTCAACCAGTGAGATTAAAATACTCTTGTTATCTCCTGCAAACAGCCCGACAATGATAAGAAGTGCCAGAACGGTGACTTGCTTAAAAATCCGAGAAAAATGTTCAGCTTAGAATAGGGACAACTTTTTATTTTTCAGTGTACATAATGACGCTGCCAGTAGTGAAGACGACGTGGCATAAAATTATATGATGATTAATAAATCAAAAAAAAACTTTGTTGGGAAATGACCGTGGCATAATTTAACAAACTAACCCATCGTGAAGGAACTGAGAAAAACCACAAGCATCAGTCATAATAACAGAGTTTTAGGATGGGAATACAGTTTCTTCTAAAACTACAAGTTATAAAGTTTTCTTACTGATGTTGATCACTGCTGCCAAAATATCCTGTCACCGTTCAATTGTGTGCGGATTTCGTTTGTGACAATGCCAAGAGGGACAGAACATCATCCCAAAACTAATCAGCTTGGAGACACCAAAAACAGTGATTCAGGTAGGAAATTATACGCATTTAAAACTGGGGTGCCTTTTTGGAAAGACCTCACGTATTGAAATAGATCACGAGTGCTTCCACGTCACTCAAATGTCATGAAATGAGGATTCAATGGTTTTTCAAAGTCCCACAAGGCAAATGCCAGGATAATACCTTAAAAACAGACGACGGTCACTTCCTCCCACACAGTTTTCAATTAATTATATGATGAGCTACTGATTGCTTCGTTAAATAAACCAAACAGAAATAAAACAGATAAATACACGAAGCTATGTTTAAATTATTCCATCTGAATATGTAGAAAGTAAAAAACATGTAACCACAAAGATATTACATGTCCTGGAACAAATCTATACATTCTAATTGACAACCAGATTAGTACAATAACCAATCAACTGCCCACACTAACAGTTTAATCACTAGTCAAACTAGGTGGTCATCTAGGGTAAAAATATTTGGAGGTAGAATAAAACCAAGTGCATAAAACAGAAAGAAAAATAATGTAAAATATAATATAACAAGCGTTTAAAAATATAAAGAGAAAAACATAAAAAAAGGATACGTGTGTGTTTGCATTCGCAGTTCTGTAACACACTGGAAGGAAAAAAAACACGTGTTTACTGATGCTGGCAATGTGACCAAACAGGTTTGGGGTACAAGGACGAAGGTTTGCCTGGGGCACCAAATACCCTTGTGCTGGCCCTGACTGCCAAAACATTCAACCACTTTAAAAAATAAAGACATTTTTATTCCGTGGCCATTTTCTACTGTTATATACTTGGAGGGCGAGGGGAGAGAGAAAATGGATAAAATACCACTGTCACATACTTCCAAAACTTCTACTAAAACTACAATTTCTGGGAAATTATTTAATAAATGCTTCTAACAACAAAGAGCCTTTCAAAATGTTTCTTTGTGAAAGCAATCAGCACTGACCAAAAAAAAAAATAAAACAAATGAAAAGAGGCAGATAAAAACTAAAACATTGATCATGGCTTTCTAACTTGAAATTAGCTTCTTTGGTATTGTACCACTGCTTGCCTCCTCTGAAATCTAAATTCCTAAAATCACTTTGCTCCACACTGTTTGTCTCCGTATTTCGCCCTGGTTGCTACGTGACTGTAACTTGATTCTATAGTGCAAAAAGCAATCATTATCCAGTGTTGTTTTGTAGCTTGAAAACTATCACAATACGGTAACACAGCAATAAAAAGAATACTTGTCAACAGAAATAAATATTTATAAGTCAAAATAAATAAGCAATTTCAATATTATCATAAAATTTACTTTAATAAAAAAAGACTGGTAATGAACAGGTGCTTTGAAAAGGATAACACAGTTTTTGTTATTTAATCTTCAAAACATGACCAAAATTAAATCCTAGGTACACTATCAGCAGTGAACATATTACGTTCCTGTTATATTTTACCTGAATAGCGCTCAACTCATCTATCAGCTGTTTTGACTTTGGTCCTGGGATATCTGTCTTCACGGTTGGACCCTCGGGTTCCCCTGATATCAAGGTAGATGCTGCCCTCAATGTGTGTGTCTTCTGGACAAATCCTGGCAAACAAATAATTTTACACAGTTCCAGTTAAAATCTAAGCCAGATTTCTAGCTATCCTGATGGACATTTCTGATCACCATTATATCCCCCAAATAAATTATAGTATCTTGATCCTGGCCATCTCCTTCCAAATTCTTTAATACCTGCCAATCGTGGTCAATTTTCCACCTCATTCAACGCCAGTGTTCTTAAAGGAACTAAAACGATAAAGAGTAAACTGGGTGGACAAGTAGCATGCAAGGGAATACATACACATATAATACTTCAGTACACAAACTGTTTTATAAATTTACAAATGACAGCAGAAGGCTGTGATACGCAGTGCAACACTGTAGCATGAAGCACAAACTTTAAATTACCCCATCCTGTAGCAGCAAATATCTATGAACTTTTCACCTCCTACATTAAAGCAATGTGTGAAAACAATCAATCTTACAAATATTTTAACGTATTATTAATGTTTTTGATGTTGTATCTTGACTCCAGATATGGTCTCTGACCATCATGGTTTCTGTTTACTTGGCAAGGATAAAGATATAAATTCACATTCAATACAGCAGCACTCAAACAGAGAGATTTTCAATCTGCACCCAGTGACGGTATGGCAGTGGAAGATTCTGACCACCAGAAGGGATCTACACCTTAATGTGGATAATGAATTCTTCTTGGGCTACTGAACTTCAGTACCATGAGGACGAGAACGAAGATGGCTATCGAAATGGTGTTTTCTCCATTAAACCACCTGACATGGCTGGTACCCTGGGAAGAATTCATTATATTTAGTCACCATGAAAGCTTCTGTTCATACAGCTTAACGTGGGATTACTAATTTATTCTTTCAGTTTCAAGACAGGTTATATGAATGAGTTAAAACATGTATGTACTCACCCACTCAAACTTCTAACAAGGTCAATTTAAATTCAGCAAATAGGTTTACACTATAAAGTTCGAGGCTGTGCTATGCTTTGAATAATAAAATCTTTGGCACAGAGCCTAAATTACATGTCTGTGTTTATGTGGACTAGAACAGAAAAGAATGTAATTTTAATTTGTAAAAGCCACTTTCGTTTTCGCGGCCAGCAAAGTTTCGTTTGTGGTACACATTACCCTAAAGCTTTCAATAATTCCATGGTTAAGCTCGCCCTTCAACAGCTCTGCTATAATTCTGGTTTCTTAACCAATTATGTAAACAAAGCCCCTTCTATAAAGTTGATCGTTACTCTGCAGATTCCCTGCCTCAGTGTTTTTTGTTTTCTATTCTGAAATAGCTTTCGTACACCGAAAGTTGAAAACATTTACCACAGCCAACTGAAGAGAATAGTCTAATAATATTAGCCTGTATACAAAATAATTGTCCATGTCAAAAACATATAAACGCACAGGGGATCAAGTGACTGCCGTCCTCATTGTCCCACCTCAAGATTTCTAGCATCGTACTACCAACAGTAAATAATTAAAAAGTATGATTTCGGACCAGTCTCATCAATCGCCATAACAAATTTAATAAAAATATATGTTCAGCCATTCCTAGTCCATGTGTACCGATGGATATAACTTTCGAGTCATGTTGATGCACTGACCGCTACACAATTTGTTTACACCGGGTCCACTTGAAAACAATGGTTACTTGTGTGTTGATGTGCCAGATCATGTAGCATGTTACTTCAACGTACACGCTCCCTAATGGGGTTGACCCTGAACTACAATTGTATTAGCAAACTTCCACCACCCCACATAAATTTTACAACACTGCATGCCAGCAAATAATTCTACTGAGAAAGCCTACCACTCAGCTGCTTTATTTTCTTCAGTGGTGTGATCCATTTTTTGCTGATATGCGCCATCCCGTACAAACACGCGGGTGCTTCTAACAAGTTCACAACAGAATCAATATCAATGGTACGCGTACTACGAGGTTCAGATCACCAATGAGCACAATTCGACGGTTGCGACCCCACTGGTCCCGTTCCGCTGGGTCCGCTCGCTCGCTCGTCGGTGTACACATAACAGAAGATAACTTGATAACTTATGTGTCCCTCGCATCCGGTCTCATAGTTACGGGTGGTCTTCGTTTAATTTAAAGTGCACCATCACTTTAGTTCAATTTAACTAATTCAGTCTTATTAAGAACGCACTGTCTCAGTATTATAAGGATACATGAACAATGCGCCAGTGGAATGTACACAATGTTTGTTTAATGGCAAATTATGCGTTTTCATTAACTCATCACAACCCAACGTTCACAAATTTTGATCACAACTCATTTATCTCCAATCGTACTAATTACAGCAGCGCACAACTGAGCGCGATGCTGAAATTGCTACCAACAATGTATATGAGTAAATACCAACCCTGTCCAAACCATCTACAAACCGCAGTTGACCAAAATCCAAACTAATTTTTTTATCACAATAAATGCCTTACAAGTGTACGCCTACTTTTGGACACTTACTGATGTCACTTCATACATGATATGTTTTATTCTCAATAATAATTCTTTGTGAATATGTGATCCTTGATTTAAACAGATTCCATACTCTAACGCATACACAATCTACTGAAATATCAATTGCAAGGTTAGTTATTTACTAAATAAAAATAAAGAAGTAAAAAATATAATTTTGGTATACAATTTCTTCAGTACAATCGTTCTTCATAGGAACGAGCTCGATGTTATCTAGTAAACTCCACACAAACCCAACCTCTATGGATGATCGATTACTTTTGCCTGGAAACCTAACGTGGCGCATTCTCTTGGCCAATGGGTTTGAGAATGTCTGTTAGGTTGGGTCGTTGATCTAAATATTATTTGGGTCACAACAACGTATCGAAATATACAGTCGAAAGTTGTTTGTCTCACTAGTGGTTTCTCTTATGTCTGAAATGCTTGAAGTGTATAAATAAATCAATGCATTGTCCTAACATTAATGGCAGGTTAGTCCATTATGAAAACGGTGTTTTCCACGCTTCTTATTTAGCGTGGAGCAGACTTGTTCTTCTGTCATACCCACATGAAAAATGAATACAGAATCCGAAACAGTTAATGGAATCAACGAAGAAAACATTCAAAGTGGGGCGATTTCCAATGACGACTGTCACAATGGCGAACTTGATACTCAGTTTGAATGTAAACAGGAGATACATAGTGAAGGGGAAGATGAACAAACGTGTGTGGACAAGCAACAGATGACAGTAAACTATACAGAGGTTTCAATTAAAGAAGAAAGCAATGACCCCAAAGGAACCACAGAGGATGAAAGGTACATACTTTTAGATAAAATACATAACAGAAGTCCCCAACCATACCATATTTCAGGGAAGTTTTTTCACCACAGTACTCCTTTATGGCTAGGTTGGGTTAAGCCCATTCAAAGCATAGCTAAACTTTGGGGGCATGAAAGGAATGTTTTCTATATTTGGCAATACATTTTAAACATGCTCCATTTACTCTTCTTGAAGAGGTGCCTTTGAATTTCCTATACCCTAGCGAAGTATGTGATGGGGTTGCTATTTGCTGTTGCATGTTCAAATTTGTGATGCAAGAATATAAACTGTAGTCTAGTAGAATATGACCAAACGTTTCAGACATGCTTACTACCTCCATCATCCCATTAATATATAAACAACATACAGTACTTGTTTATTCTGATGAACAAGAATTAATTTTAAAGATATTAGCAAGTATATCTTGAGGTGAAAATGGGCAATGCTCTAAGTACAGTACATAACAAATAAAATGGTATAAAGACAGTAATTAGATTTGGGAGGGATGGTAGGCAGAGACAGAAACATGTAGATGGTTGGACCTGTTTATCATGAAAATTCATTAGTCACACTGAAGCACGTAATAGTTTGCCAGATATGATAATGCATTGTTAATTGTATGAGATTCTGAGGTTCTCATGATGTTAAAATCTTGGATTGTGATGTAGTGAAGGGGTTACAAAGAGAGGACCTCTTCATCACAAAAATACAGGCATTATGTTAATACACATTTTCAAGGAAGTCTGTTTTCTTTTCCTGCATATTGTTTCACAACTGACAAAAATACACAAGGCAAAAGGAAGGAACATTATTCATTACAGTTTAGCAGCAGTTATCTGATCTATCCTACAGCTGTCAAATTCCAATTCTTAAATAATATTGATATATATTTCTGTTCAAGCATGGCGGTGGAAGCTCTGCGGCAACTTGGCGGTATGTTTGAGAGTGTACCAGCCCCAGACCAACTACCACCACAAGCAGCACCAGAAGTAGGAACACAATTTCACCAGCATATCTGCAGCATCTGCGGAGAGAGCTTCGAGCGGAAGACCGACCTGGGAAATCATATTGTGTGTCACCAGGTCGATCGCCCTCATGCTTGCAGGTTAAATAACAGAACTAATTTGTGTCTGATTATGTTGTTACCTTTCTGACAAACAGATAGTGGGACACATTAAGGATCCTTCCCTTGATCATTCTTCCCAGTCAAAACAAAATGATGGCAGTGTTGTAATTATGATTTGCTATAATAATGAGATTAAGTAACAGGACTTGAAGTTTTAAATGTGGTGAGTCCGAAGATGGCTGCTTTCTAGGTTGTAGCACCGTGTAGTCTGGTAGAAGTTTACCAACATTTCAGAGGTCCTTGCTACTGCCATCATAAGGGCAATGATCATCATAGCTTTGAAACACTGGTAAACTCCTACAAGACTATAATGTTACAACCCAGAAGAAAGCCATCTTCGAGTACACGCCTTATTTGTTGAGCAGAATTTTTAGTTGTCTTCAACTCAGTTTATTACGTGCCAAATATATGTCATAGGAAAAATTAGAAAAGAAATTGTGAGTTACACTGGGATATCCGTTATACACAGAAGTGGTATAGCCTTATCTTATTAGTGTGATGCAGTATGCGCTAAGTTGGGATAATCCTGGTGTAGTAATGTGGTACAACTTGCACTAGGCCAGGATATCTTGCAATCAAAGGGTTGAAAATAAAACTACACCAGATTTGAGCCTCACCATATGCAAAATTATGCGTATTATAATTTGTATTCTTCCCCAGGACATGCGGTAGCCTATTTCGCCGGAAAGCAGACCTTCAGAACCATATGGTATGCCACCAGGTGGAACGTCCACACAGATGTCCTCACTGTGGAGCAGATTTTCAACGACCATCAAGTCTCACAAATCACATGAAGATTCACACATATTTTCCAGGACGTGCATTGCTCTCTTCAAACATGTCCACTCATTCTCCAGTACCAAATTACTTCTCACAGACAACAGCACCACAACCAAATCAGCCCATTCCCACTAAAGTCTCATTTATATCATTGCCATCCTATAATGGATGGGATGTAACGTATACATGTGAACCAGACTCTGACCCTATTGCCGATGAAAATGTGTTAGCCCAAAATCAGAACCTTCAAACACCAGCTACAAGCAATCATGAACTAAATTACCAGCCCATGGAACCGAAACACTACCCTCAAATTTCAGGTATAAGTGAAAATATTCCTCAGTTTGATTATGGGGCAAACTCAGGACCTGCTATAAGTAACATTTCGTCTCCCACAACTGTAGCACAGCATGGGAACAACAACCAGACAAGATGTGATATTAATAATTTTGGTAATGTAACACAAGTTGACTATATGACAAAAGATGGCAACTTAAATTTCAGTTCTGAGGAATATAGAGAAACAGCTGTTAAAATAGAATCGATGCCATATGCACCCACAGTGGAATGTTCCTCAACAGAAGAAACATACACTTGTCCTCCAGTAACAGAACAGCCACCTGTTGATACCGCTCGTCGTCCGCACATCTGTCGCCACTGTGGACTGGGCTTTGCGCGTGAGAAAGCCCTAGAATCGCATTCACGCTTGCACCGGGACCATTGGGGTAGCCCTATAGAATGTGACAAGTGTGAGGAAATGTTTCCGGAAGACATCTCCCTTCGTCAGCATCAAGAGACTTGTCTTGGAAAAGTGGCACGAACCTCACCACAACAGCTGCAGACTAAGAGATCTAAGATGATCCCGTGCTCTGTGAATCCAAGTACAAATGTTGCACAGCCAGCCAAACTGGGAAAACATGCTTGCATGGAATGTGAGAAAAGATTTACCACCAAACAGAAACTGTTTAGGTAATCTTTCAGTTATTCATTACAATTAAATCATCACTGTTGGACTTCTAGGTACATACCATCATTCAGATGAACATACTGCCACCATATTCAGGCCCGTCTGTAAGTCTACATGGGGTTATACAACCCAATAACATCTTCACTGTCAGAACCTAAAATCTTCTATAATTAGTGGTTTTTAACCTTGATTTACATAGTTACCAACTTTCAAAGCTGAAAAAAAAAGAATTGATTTTATTATGTATAGACATATGACAAATGATAATTACATTTCTTTCTTGTTACACTGTGAAATATCATCAGTCGGTGATGTCGTTGCTTGTACCAGTAACACTGTTATTTGACTTGTTACACTGTGAAATATCATCAGTCAGTGATGATGTTGCTTGTACCAGTAGCACTGTTATTTGGTAATCATTTGTTCATTTCAGTTCTCTTGGCTTTATCAGATATGAACTTAAAAAGAACGATACAGGGGTGACATGTTCCACCTTTATCTCTCTTGTTAATAATAGCTTTAATCTGTATTCCCTGTAAAAACGTTTTCCAGGCACATGTGGATCCATCGGAAGCGTCCTTATGCATGCGAGGTGTGTGGAATCAGTGTAGCAGATAGTGGGACACTGGATGAGCATCGTCGCACCCAGCACCATGCCAAGACACCCTATACATGCAACAAGTGCGGCAAAACCTTTGCCAGACGACAAGGACTGTGGGAACATGGTCGTTTGCACGCAGCTAAAGGGACATCAGGCAGATCACCGTTCGTGTGCCAGTATTGTGGAAAATGTTTTTCAAGCCGCCAAGGTCATCTTATTCACACTCGTACTCACACCGGGGAACGTCCTTATGGTTGTCGCTTCTGTTGGAAGGCTTTTCATGATGGGGGAACCCTCCGTAAACACGAACGAATTCACACGGGTGAGCGCCCTCATGTCTGCCCACTTTGTCCTCGAGCGTTTAACCAGAAGGTGGTGCTGCGTGAACACGTCCGCTGGGTTCACGCGGCTCGGAATTCACAGGGTTGTCAGCTGTGTGGCTACGTGGTTGGAGATAGAGAGGCTCTCTGTGCACATATTGTGAAGCATAGTGACCAGCTTGCAGCTGCTGCAAAGGCAGCAAAGGGGAAAGAGGAACCTCCCAAAACTGCTGATGCACAAAATGTTTCAGAGAGAGTAAATCCATTAGAACTTCCAGCTGGACTTCTACAAGAACCTTACAATTCATCAAACTATGTGTTCTTGCCCAGTGATGGATTAACGTCCGAACCACCAGATTCAGACATAAACCATACAAGTGTGGTAGAGATAAAAACTGAATATACATGTGATATGTGTCAAGAAGTTTTCAAGTTCAGAACCGAACTGTTAGACCATGTTCGTATTCATATCTAGAACTAGTTTTAATCCTGAGCCACAAAAAGAAAGTAAAAGTAAAAAAATAAAGTAAGGGTGTCCTGTTATATGCCATGCTTGAGAGGGGGGGAGGCAGTATAGTTCCTACTCATTCTTAACCTTGGAACTAGATAGGGGTGAGTAGTCGGCATCATGTCCTGGCTGTGCTTTGCCCCCAGGAAAGGACCCCAGTTCCCATTAGATGGGGACTGGGTGGGCCCCAGAGCCAGTCTGGACGCAGAGGATAGTGGAAAAATCCTCTGCAGCTGTCAGAGATCAAACTCCAGTCATCCAGTCCATAGTATTTAACTATGTAGCAAGGTTTTTGGTCTACTCACTTAATCCCAAGGCCTGTCTGTATATTTATCAAGAATGTGAATTGCATGTTTAAAATCATATACAACTATATAAATAAAGATGGTATTACACATAAAATGTGCGCCTGGAAGAATTTTTTAGGATGTTTTACTATGGTCTATGTGATATTAAGAATAGTGTTTTTTTGGCAACATTACTGCAGTGTAATGCTTGTAAGGTATTTTCTATCAACACATTTTAATTTGACATCACAGTATAAAAAACAATGTTTACAGTATTTTACAATCAATTATATAATTGTACTATACCCCACTGTGAAAAATGGAAACAATATTACTTAATATGTGTGGTGCTGTTGGAAAGCAGCCCATAAAATAATGGTCTATTATTCATGCTGGATGTACCACAGCAAAAGATAATGTTGGTATACAACAAATGTACATTACACGATATGTAATTAAGATTCTAAAAATGCAGCAACATAATGTGCAGATAAATTTTATAAAGATTTTGCAATACCAGGCATATGTATTCTTAACTTCACGACATATTACATTACATGACGTGTACTGAAACATTTCTCAAGTGCTTTGAGAGAACAAAAGAATGTACATAAAGTCTTGCGTAATAAAATCTCAGTATAACAATCTTTTGTGAACTAGAAAGCTGTATTCATAATAATAAAATACTATTATAATGAGAGGCAATAAAAACAAGTAAATAAAGCTAATATTTATTGTTTTCCAAAAGATCAATGCATTTTGTTGAATAAGTAGCACATCATAGGTTCATAATTAAATTTGTGAGCATAAAACAGTTGTCTCATAGGTACAACCAAGAAGACCTTACTGCAGAAAGTAAGGGCAGAAACTGTTTTAAAATTCTATAAAACGCTTATCATCCTAACCTATTATACGGGTCTGAGACATGGACGATTACGGAATCTCAGCTGAATAGACTGGAGGCAGCAGAAATGTGACTGCTAAGACAGCTCGCAGGAGACACGTTCCTTGACCACAAACGGAACAAAGACAATCATAAAAAAGTTGAATACAGAGAGCATCACCAGTATTATCAGCACATATAGGAAAAATTGTTATGATCACATGACCAGAATGCCTCCACACAAAACCCTACACAGATTACTACTATATAAACCATCAGGAAGAAGGAACACTGGACGACCGAGAAAACGGAAGGACCGGCTGTGATTAACTCAAGGAGACGGAACAGGCCCAATGGCCTAATCCGTGAAGTTATTTATAAATGAGAATGGTCTCTTTGAAATTTACATGATCATATAAATTATCCATTACCAGCTGTGTGTCAAGTATTGCCATGCATTGTGATAGCACCCCCATAAGATGTATCTTTAAATGAATAGATTGTACTTCTATTGCATACTACAGGGTGTACAGAAATTAAAATGTTTTCATGGTGTAATATGGTCCTGTTTTAAAACAGCAATTGTCATCAGAATATGTTGGTCTTATAGTTCACTAAACACATCTAGACTAATGTTATGCAACTGGTTTGCTGTAACTTTTTGTAAGAAATTGCATATTCACACATTACAGTTAGAAAAGGACAATTATTATCTTTCATCATAAATAGTTTTATCTAACATGTATAATTTCTTTTTCACATGCCTTCTCTCTCTCCTATAGGACAAGTATTTATATACATATTTATGGTCTGTATAGTTTCATACCGCAACAATTTGTGGTGTCTTTGACAAATCATGGTGTGCCATGGGTGAAAAAAGTTGCAGAACACTGACCTAGACTACAGTAAATGTAGCAGTTTGCCTGCTTAAGATATCTAGTGCATGTTTAACAAACTATCCGAAAGATATAGCTGTTTTTTTTTAAAAAAAATTGAAACACCAGTACAGGGTTCTCTCAAGAAGGGTTAACACATTCTAAATAACACTTTACTGCATTACACTGAGTTCATTGAGAAATATTTTTCAATAAGATTATATGGTACTTCAGTAGGGGATGAACTACAGGGGATATTTTTGTTATATTGAAACTTAATTATACTGGCTCTTGTTATACTAAGATCTTACTGCATTAATCACTTTATAAAATGATTTGGTGAGTGTTATTTAGTATCATTTTGGGCTCCACTTTTTAATTTATGTGCTCTATGTATAATTCTGTTAACGTCTCTTCAGTGAAATTGCCACCAATTCTGCATCATAAACGTGACATACTTCCTTCCTACACCCATGGTGACTGAGCAAAACCAGAAAATCAATTCCATAACTATCGCTGTGCCAGTATAATTATAAACAGTAGCTGGTTTCACGACAGACTTCAGTCCCAATTACCTGAATACAATGAACTATATTTTTCAATGATGCCAATACAGGACTGCTTCTTGTGGGAAATTGCTAAATGCAATGAAGAACCAGTATTCTTATGCAAATGTTGAAGTTATACAAAGTTTGTTATGTCTTGTTTTACTGTATGCAGCAAATCAGTGAATAATAAGTTAATTTAGATGTTTATCATTAAGCTATTGACATTTGGATAAACTGTACTGGTAACATTATGTTGTATGCTTGTACTTCCAGTGAAAGTGTTGACTATTTATATTCTCATCAATGAAGTCAATAACTACCTGTGAAAATGAATGTTAATATGGAAAATTAAGTCACTAAAAATGTATCTATTCCCTAAAGTGCTTTCACTTTGACAAAATGTGTCCAACACATCCCAAAACAACATCACTGCTTCCATGTTTTGTAATTTCCTTGACATTTTACAGAATTATTTCCCTATATTAGACTTTAATATATGTTTATATGGTGTTCTTAATTTGTAATTGTGTTTATGAAATTTGGTATATCATATGCGACTGGATATCACCTTATCCTGATACTTTCTCAACTGATTTGCCATCGAATGTAGGGTTTGAATTTCTGTATGGCAATTGATCCTTAGAAAGTATGCAGTTTTCATTTAGATATTTTTTAAGGAACTGTACAGTACGAGCATGGTGACTGCACATGCTAACTTGACAAATTACTGCAATACAGATTTGTATGGTAACATGCTGCAAAAATCTCTGCTTCTAGTACAAGTGGCTTTCTAATCCTTCAATACCTTAAAGTTACTGTTTCTATGAGAGGTGCTAATAAAGAATGATGCAATTATATATCTGTGTATTTTGTAAAGGCCATATTTATTTACAATATAACTAGAACAATAATGTTGTTCAGATTACCGCTTCTTTTTTGTTTGATTATTCATTTTGTTTTAGCAGATAAATAATTTGTGCTAAACATTATTGCTTTTCTTCTCCTTCCCATTTCATAAGCTGGTTAACGGTGCAAGTGGTGAGAAAAGGAAAAGAAACTAGCTTTAGGTGTTGGTTGCTTCATCCATCATAAATGTGGAGGAACATCTGTGTTACAAACGCAGGACCTCAGAAGACGTGACATGTAGCAACTTTATTTTGTTTCCTATCGTGCATAATTATCCACTGCAAATGTTAGATGTGGATGAGGTCTTTACAGTAATTTGTGTATTGTAAAGAAACATAACTGAATGTATAGATAGTGATCTTGTGGCTCTATACCTAAGTTTTGGAGGAGTGCACTGCTTCCTTCTCCCAGACATAACTCCATCTCCCATCCTCATTCCATGCCTCAGACTGGCCAATCCCTAACCGTAGATAAACTATCCACTTCCTAACCCACCTCACTTTAGCCCTGAAGATGGGGGCAGTATGTTGTTCTAAAACATTAGTATACAGCCTAAAGATCACAAGGTGATAAGAAGAACGTCTATACTTAAATTACTCTGAAAACCTCAAATACAAAGTCTAAATGTACCAGTGACAAACAGACTTGTTAGTCATTACTTGTACTGCACAATGTAAGACATAGTATCGATCCTCAGAAAAAATGCTATTTTATGTGTCCATAAATCATAAAACTTTCACACACACACACTGTTATAGAACTATAAGAATTCTGATTAAGGTAAATATTTCGAAATACATTCTCCTCTTCCCAAAAAACTTCCGCTCCCGTCGTCCGATTTCTTATCGTTCAGACCTGTTGTGATATTAATTTCATTCATATTAAAAAGTTTCTAACTTCTCTGCCTCCATCACCATATAGACAGACTCAGAAACGTTGGGCTGTAATACAATAATGACAAGGACATAGATACCTACGACTTCCGACACTTCCTTACATTCTATTAGCATGACATCTTCAGTTAACAGCAAACACAGACACAACATACCTTAAAAGCTAGCAGATAATATGCAACCAGGGGTCCGCAGTGGCCGCGCGGTCTGAGGTGTGGGCCATGTGCCGCTTGGTCGCTGGGACCGTGGGTTCGAATCCCACTCAAGCCATGGATGTTTGTCCGTGTTTTTCTGTGTTGTGCTGTCCTGTGTACAGGTAGAGGCCTTGCAACGGGCCGATCCCTCGTCCAAGGAGTCCTACCGAATGTCTATACATCGAACCACCGAAAAGTTTGGACCCGCAGTGCTCACGCACTAGAGGAAGGTGTCGATCCCAGTAGATGCAACTACTGATGTCCGGAGCATAGATAACCTATCTTCGTGATCTGACATACTATTATAAAAGTCAACTACCAACAGTGGAAGTAAAATATCCCCGAGTGTAAAATGTTATGGAATTAGTGAGAGAGAAGCCTGATATTGTAAGAGAACTACATATCTTTAATTCCTTAAATGTTCATCCAATTTTGTGCTGAAGGAACTGCACTTACTTAATTCAATATGCACAGCAATGCAATTTATAAAACGAGTAATTTATTAATGCATGTGTTCTTTATTAACATGCGTATTATGTCCATATTTTGCTTTTAGTAAGAAAGTTTGTGCCTAACATAACCTATAAACTGTATCCACTGTAGACTTAACGGCTATACATATGAATTTATTAAAGCTGGTGACCAATTAAATTTGGATCACAAGTTTCACTGTTAGCAACTAATTTTGTGATTCCTTCCTACCCTTAATGTAAAGAGAATTATTGTGAACTGGGGCTACAGCATGATGTCTCTATCTTCCGAACTTAAGATGGAGACAATATTTCTCCAAACAGCATCACAACCCAAAATACTGTCATTTTCACCACCCTTAGACCTTCAAATCTCACTTTCCCAGTTTTATCCTCAGGGATCCATGTAAACTTTAAATTTTATTTTAGAACTACAACCATAACAGCTTTCAACTGAAGTTAATTCAAAGTGGTGTTATTGAATGTGTCCAGATAGCCACTGTGAAAAATGTCTAGAACCTATGAAAATGGCCAATCTGTGCATTCATTTCAGTCTGTGATCATTCCAGTCCACAATGGAGAAGTGTGGATTGAGGAATGCTTTAAGTCAATACAGACACAGACAGCTGTCAGACACATCAAGTTGGAAGTCTCTGTGTATGATGATGCCAGCACTGATCGAACATGGCAAATGCTGCAAGACTGGGGATACAAATTTAATTCTGCCGGTATCAAGTTCACAGTATCCAGAAATGAGTCCCTGAGGCCTAGAGGAGGTAATGTCCAGTTTGTTGTGGATTTTATCATACATTTTGCTATTAAATAAGAACTTGTTAGTATGATTTTTGTTCATACTTCAAATACAGCAGTGGTTCGTAACCTGTTTTTGACACCGTGTAATCATGTAGGTAGTTACTGACACTTTGGATGTACCCGCAGCACCAATCTTTAACTATAAAGTGGAAGTGGCCAGTTATGAAGCATATGCATACGTGTTTATGCCGAGATTAGAAGGGTAGGTATCACTAGTCATGATATAGGTATACATAAAGGTTTCTCCGAAATATTGGTACCTACATGTCTGCAAGGTACTGCTATCCAGATCACACCCAAAACCATTACTGTTGTGGAAACTAAAATCTCATATGAAGACAACAAATTTAAATTGTCTCAGTAAAAGATTTTGGTCAGCAGCAAATTAACACAGGTGTGCAAAATAACAAAGACTGTATCTGGAAAACTCTGAACTGGAGTACACTGTAATTAATTACATTGTAATTATGAATACTTTTTTTTAATAGTGGGTTATGCAAAGAACCGTTCAGTCAAACAGAGTACTGGACACTTCCTCTGCTTCCAGGATGTGGTAAGAACTCGTTTCTTTTTAACTATATTACTGTAAATCATATCAGTTTGTATACAGAAAGTGATTGGATAAAGTCCTGAAGCATGACGCTTCACTATTTCATCACTACAGAAGTTTCCATGCCTTTCTTTCAGGATGATATAATGTTACCAGACCGAATCCTCCATCAATATGAAGTCGCAAAGAAAAACACAGATGCGGTGTGTATCATATTTTTTATACATTCCAGTTATAACTCGCTAGGAAACTGGCTGTAAAGAATTATGGGGAGGGATGGAGTTACTACAAAGTGATCAACCAACAATGACAGAAGATTTGATCATGTATAAGAATTTGAGATAACAGTTGGGGATGGGGGACAGATTTGTTTAGTATAAGAATTTGAGATAACAGTTGGGGGGACAGATTTGTTTGATGTGTGAAAGTCAAATAAGCCCTTACAGGAACAATGATTTTGACATCGGACCAATTGGTTTGATTTCTGGTAGAGGCAAGGGCAAAAGATTGTTCTGTTGACTTCCACTTCGGCTCCGAGGCCCACCCAGCAGGTAAAAGGAACCCTTTTATTAATCAATAAACCATATCCATGGAAACCATAATACAATCTGCTACATTCACAATCCTAAAGCTATTTTCTCTTTATACATTAGAATTGGGTCAATTATTAATTTATTCATGGAACACTAGTTCAGCTGTAGGTTATATAGTATTTAGTGAAATGGGATTTTTTGAAGGGAGCAGGTCGTGACTTTAAGGTTACTATCCAGGCCAAAAGTGTAACTCTGAAATAAACTTAGTTTCCTACAACTTCTCTATTGGAAGGTCTACATAGTATGTATGATCACCTATAGAAAGTATAGATTTTCATTGTTCTCAGTCCAAGGAAATGCCAGGGTGGTACCTTAATTCCACCTTCTTCCGTTTCATTTCAATTAATTATCCTGTCATTTTACACTATATAGTCATAGCTGCTGAGTGTCATTATATATAAAAAGTTCTGGAATATTACAACCTTCCCTCGTGTGCACTATCATTAAAATTACTGTTACCTCACAAGTTGTGAACTGTTGTAGATTGTAGGATGTGGATTCTGTCGCTTGCCTGCTGACTCCACAGCACGTTTCACACGATGGGCCAACTCACTGGATAACCAGCAGCTTTACCACCAGCTCTATACATCTCATGGACCAACACTTGTGATGCCAACATGGTTTTGTGGAAGGGATGTGTTTGACAGGTTAGTTGTGGCTGGTACTGTACCTAATAGAATTTTATTACATTATGAAGTTATCATGCATGTAGTTTATAAAAAAAAATCAATACATTTTTAATATTATAGATTTAAGAGTTGTGCAATTTTACAGTTTTAATATATGTAGGAAAAATTAAGTTCTAGCAAGAAATTATAATGTGTATGACTATTCTGTTGGACATTATCCTTTATTTAAGCGTCTTTCAATTCAAACAACATTTTTGAAGTGGGGTCTACTCCAGTCCCCATGTAGGAAAACAAAACCCTATTATGTTGGGTCCCTTGGTTGAACTGTCCCTGACACTCATTTAATACAGGAAGTCCAACAAAATAATTATGTATATTGTCACACCATCAGAAACCTCCAAATATAATAAGTTATGAAGTCTGCCGTCCTCCAGATTCTTCAACCAATATGCTGCGGCTAGTAGGAACTATAGATTAATAATTATACAATACACACATATCATTTTTGTTCCACAAAAACACAAACTTTTCTTCAAAGTATCTGGAGATGAAAGACACTGAGACTGATAATCGGCAAAACTGTAAATTAGTTGTTCTAACAGAATGGCAAATGTAAGATGCCAAAGCTCACTGTATTTAAATCTGTCCTATCCATTTGGTCATTTCAGGGTTGGAGGTTTCTCAGAGGAAGGTAAAGGTACTCCAGAAGACCTGATATTCTTCTATGGACACTTAGATAAAGGAGGAAAACTTTGTAAAGTTCCAGAATGCCTGCTCGTGTATCGCTACCACCAGGATGCTACAACATTCTCAATTCATGAGTGTGTATCTTTCATAGTGCTTCTCAATTTTGGAAACTCGCAAATATTTTTTCCAAATTAAAGTTTGTCTTTCAGAATTAGAAAGTTTTAATCTCTATGTTTTTTGATGGCTGTCAAGAAGGAAAAAGATTCTTAACTGAACACTAACAACCATTTCTTCGATTTGATCTGCTCTTAATTATTGTACAGAGTAACATTCTGTTTGTAAAAGAACCCAAATCTGTTAATTGTATTTGGCCTGTAATGGGCCTGAAATTGTAAACAACAGTTTGTAATTAGTGTGCTATGTTCACAGAAGCACAATCTGGTCAATACGCCTGGCGAGGTTGCAGGAACGAGTCCTAAACACCTGGCCAAAATTCAGCATTTGGAATGCTGGCAAACAGGGACGAAGACTGTACCGGTCACTTCATCCCAAGTACCAAGACAGAGTTGTGGCATTCTGTGACGTTGATGTTAAAAAAGTAGGGAAAATGTACTCGCCTCCTAACCAATCTCGCCACATTCCAATAATTCACTTCACACAGGTCAAACCACCTGTAGTCATCTGTGTGAAACTGGTAAGCTGCCTACATTTTTTTTTCCAAGTAATTAGGAAATAAATCCTTCAACATGCTTCAGTTTTGAAAAACAATTATATTTTCTTAATTCCAAGCTACTTTTTGTCATTATTATACATGAGAATGCTTTAATTCCAAAAGTATTTTCAAATAAACACACTTTTCCATGTTTTACAAAGGTACACCATACTGGTGCTTTTTTCAGAACACAAAAATAAAAGGAAAATATAAACAACTGTATGTTCCTAAAAATGACAAAATAAAATCTGTATCCTAATCAACACTGTCAGTTTTTGTTAATTCTAGATACATAAGAAGCTAGATAAATGTGTAACTTTATTACAGAACCAGGTGCAGTGCAATACATTTTGTTTTGCAACTCATCAGTTTTATCAATTACTGAATCCTGTTCTAATTTATGTGAAAATAAAGAAGAACCTCATGCGTAATAAAAACTTCTTTTGTTTATTCAAGATATAAGTAATTCTATCATAAATCTTATGATTTCTTTGCAGGACCTGACAGGAGGGAGTTTTGAGGAAAATCTAAAGTCATTAAAACTGCAAGAAGGAACTGATTATATTCACTTCAGCTGACTGTAAACCCTGTTCTGCTTCAATAAATTTTCCTATTGCATGTGACTTTTCTAATCTATTTTATGTGTAGCTGGCCGTTCCTTAATGTCCGATTTTTCCTTCCCTGACGACGCTTTCGTGCAGGTCTTCCCAGCATTCAGCAGTCTCCAGACACAGTGCTTTTTTGGGTTAAGATGCAGGCAGACTGACATGGGCCCATAAGGTGTTCTTTACTCACGCCAATGCATGAAAGATATAAATTATTATTTCGCAGATAATTTGCATATCAATAAAACACAACTATTCATGTCCAGAACAGCCCTGTGACCCATCTGTTAAGGGCTCCTTTTGAAGTACATTCATCTTATCAGAGGTTATATACCACTGGGTTAAATTTAATTTATTCTTTACAATTCTAAATTATTACACTGTTCAGCATTGGAGCAGAGTATGATTCTGACAGAGAACACGAGACAGTTACAAACAAAAACCACTGAATTACCTCAGGTTCTTAAGGGAAGACAAGTCTTGTTTCAAGTATCTCATTCCAGTTAACCTCAAGATCATCGACAACACACGTCTCAGGAGCGTTATCATCCTCTAGATCAAACTTACCCTTTGGCTTCTGACATTCTTCATGGCCACCTGTAATCACAAGAAAGGAACATTTATAAAAACATAATGTTTTTATTACCTAATTTTATTAAAGTTCACTGGTAACAGCTAATATAAATTCATATCTTACCTAAAACTTTAACCATTAGCTGGTAGGTTTCCTTACAGTAGCTGAGAACCTTGGCTGTAATGTAATCTGATATTTTGGGTGTATAGTCTTCTCCCAACTTCAACATCTTATCAGGAAAAGAAATAGTATTAGAACACACCTTGTATGTACATAATACTAACACCATTAAATAATATGGAACTTCATGATGCATATTTTTATGCTACATTACCTACCCATCTCATCTTCCTTGATATGACCACTCTAATAATATTTGGTAAACAGTATGCTGGCGGTAGCATAGCTACTGGTAGGGCGTCCCTAGCCAGATTGGTCGAGGGGGAGAGGTCAGACTAAGACAGGTACCCTGGTCCTCCAGGTTGGGGGTTGGTCGCAAGGCTAACAACCTTGCACCGTATAAAGGAAGATGTTTCAAAACCTCGATCAAAGCCTCGGACAGACGGACCTAACGGAAGAGGATAATTGAGGAGGCCATGGACCAAATACGGACCGGAGAGCCATAGAAGAAGAAGAAGAAACAGTACAAATTATGAAATCCATCCTCCTGTTATATCCTGTCTCTAAGGTCAACATTTTCCTCGGCATCCCGTTCTTAAATACCCTCAGTAAGAACGCCACGAAAAGGAAAATATCGTACAAGTATTATATGCCAAACGTACCTTGAACGCTATGATATCCCCTTCCTTAGGAGTGTCTTTAAGAATTGGAAACTGAGAAAAGTTTGTAATTCTATAATCAGTTTTGATTTGTTGTCTGTTTTCCACATCGGTGTTAGACAACGTTTCTGAAGTGTCACCGTTTGCAGTAACAGAACTCTTCTTACGCTTATACACACGTGGTGCCGAGAAATTTTCATAGGCGAGGAGTTTAGCAAATGTATCATTATTGCACACTACATCATCAGACTCCAAATTGTCTACAGCCTGCATATTCCACTTTGTTGAACTTCCTTCTTGCGACACCAAGACTTTCATTTCTCCTGGTCCTTGCCCATTTATTTCCGAGGAAACTGCACACACATCACTCAATGTTACTACTGGGTGCGTACCACCGAGCCCGACACTAGTGGGTTCAGACTCCATCTGAAATTCAACCTTATCATTCCCTTCATCAAAATCAGAAAATCTAATGTGTGTCCGTGCTGCAGTTACACTCTGAATGAACGTACCTCTTCTGTGATCCTCAACACTCACTGGAAGCTTCCCTTTTGTTTCATTCTGTTCTGGTTCATGGTCTTTCTTGTGTCGCCTTGTCCGTTTCCTGCGTCTCTTGGTGCCCCCGTCTTTCGTTGGTGAATTTTCGTTATCTGGAATGGCGTCTGCGCATACGCCAATTTCAATACTGCCATTCTCCCGACTTCCTGTCTCTGGTGTCTTTGGTCCTGCTGTGACTTGCTCTGATGCTCTCGTAACACTCGCAACAGAACTAGGAATATCATCTGATTTTACATATACATTATTTCCTTCCCTTTTGTCTGGTTTTCGCTCTCTACGCTCTTCTACCGAACGCTGAAAGCCATCCGACAATTCCTCACATTTCGATTCTTCCGTAACACACTGCTCATCTGACATACATCTCTTGTTACTGTGAGTTTGTTTCCTTCTCTTTTTACCCTTGTGTTCCGAATATTCAGCACATTCTTCCAAATTTACAGGCAATGTTTCACTCTTTTGTACCTTACCCTTTACTGTGCTACAATTAATGTCATTTATATCACCTGAAATGCGTTTTCTTTTTTTCTTCTTGGCCTTATGTCCCTTCATATATATTTGTCTGTCAATGTCTTCATCTTCGTGTCGGCAATTAACATCTTCTTTATTATTATAGCACTCTTTGTTTTGTTCCACAACCCTAGAAATTAACAATGACACATGTTACCTCTACCACAAGTGACCACTTACGAAAATTTTTCCAACATTTCCCACATGTCAACACAATACAATATAATTATACACTTCACAATACACAAAACCACATAGTGCATAAATTTATGTAGTATATATGTATGCATGCAACTATGCTCATATTATTTTCCATCATATCATGGAAAATTCATGGGCATGGCCTCTGAGAACCCTATATTGGAGTGTATGTGATCTTTTCCTGTGGAGGGATCTCAAAAGTAAAGCAAAATTTACTCTGATCATATTCACAATACTGACTTGCCAAAGGACCAAACTCTGAGAAATTCAGATAATACTTGCAGATATGCCAAGAAGAGTGATGTGTTCATGGATTCCTCAATAATGACACAACAATCAAGACACTGATTTCAAAAAGTAAAATGTTAGATTAAATGCAACATAAATTTTGTAACCCACTCTTTATACACAGGTATAGTTCAGCTAGTAAAAAATACTGTTTCTTACGGTATTCATCACTGTGTTCGTAAGACAAAACTATGTAGTTCAATCTTATCAGTGGTATTACTGTCTGAGACACGAGGTTCTCATTGCTATGATAATACCAAGGTTGGTGTTTTCTGGGTTGTAATACCCTGAAGATGGAGGCAATAGGTTCCTCCAAATTGTTGGTATGTACCTACAAGTCCATGTGGTGTTGTAACCCAGTCATCAAACAATTATAGTGGTACTACTGTTCATTATACAACGCTCACAACTAAAATGGAAATTTTTTATCTTGAACGGAAAGTCCTCATCGGTTTACAGAGTTAAAATTAACAATTTTTAGTATTTTTTGCAACTCTAAATATAACTGCTAGATAAATATTTTTCGACTGTACAGACATTACACTGGTTTAAGTTTTATCAACAGGTTCAGAGGTTCTATTCATTTTTAACAAATTGCATCAGGCTTGTTAATAACATCATTGTTATTCACCTTCAAAATACATAAAACTAAATTATACGCCTACTTGTCATTTTCTTTTGACAAAAGTCACACTTTTAAGATACGAAAAATCCAAGGAGCATTTTCTTTTTCTTCTTTCCAAACCTACATATAAGCAAAGATTAATTTTTAATCACAATATTTGCGTAAAATCAAATAACCACTATCTTTTGCAGCCACACCTTCTCATGAGGACTCTGAATATTCCAGTTAAACAGAATGGCATTAACCAAACCAGCAACACATAAAAACGTAAATTATATTCACTGATCAGTTAAAAGAAAACGACTCCGGCCCAATTTCTACTACTTTAAGGAGACATCCTGTCCCTATCCAGTTTAAAAGGATTTCTATTAGGATGGTGCACTTTATTTATTACATCGATTTCATCAGTCGCTGCCACTTACTTCAATACATCGCCAACACAGAGCAAACGCACGTTTTCCGAGGAAGGCAAATAAACACTGCCAATCATTAACGAGATTGGGTTATCAACACAAAGAAAATCCGTAATACGATTTTCTATATCGCGAATACATCGATCACGCAACAAATCAACGTAGATAAAGAATCGGCTTTTAATATCCTCGCGCAAATCTCTTCCATCAACGCACACTCTAAACCCCATAGGTTCCGCCATCTTTTTATCTTTTATACTTCACCAATATCTCCCAAGACTCCCGCCAACAAGCCTACCAATAATTCATTAGTAACAAAAGTTCCCTAAACTGTACGAAAACTTGCTGCGTCAGATCTAGACACTCCTCTTCCATTCGATTAATCTTTTTTGTGCAATTTTAATAAAGTTTCCCTTCCTACTGCCTGAAACACAATGCCATTATATTTACAACTTGAAAACAAGTTATAAAAAATTATGATGTTAATTCTATCATGAACATACAATGAACACAACACAAATACCACAATATTACATTACTTCAAATTACCTATTATGGCAAAACTTTCAATTACATTATCCAAAATATGTTTCTTAACACAATTACTACACCTTAAATATATATTCTTATGGCTCTCAGATCTCTTTAAATTCATTTACTCTCACACTGTTCCATATTTTAAATCAGAATACAATATCATTAATATTTAAGAGTCCACAATCTTAAATGTGTATGGGGACATGAATCAAGAGTTCAGATCGCTTTGTAAAGGTTTCACTGCACATTTCACATGTAAATTCAACTTTCACTTCTTTCCCATCTTCTAGCAACAAAGAAGAGGGAATGATATTATCATCATTCTCTGACTTCACAGGGACACTTCCGTTTTCTGCTTTAGAAACAGCGTCAACATTTTCTTGATTCACACCACCTTTAGTATCTAAAACAGTTTCGGTCAAATTGGATTTCTCAACAGGAAATGTTGCAGGAGAAAGTTTTGCCATCTTCACATTGTGGTAATTTACATTTTTTGTCCGTGGTCCCACTCTGCACAGATCTCGGCCAACTTTTAAAACTGACCTTGGTTTTGAAGTCACAGCCTTCAAAGCTGCAAGTGTACTCACTGTCACATTCTTTGTTCTTGGCCTTATTCTACTCTCACCAGCAGGTCTATTGCTTTTCACGAACCCTCCAGACGACAAGTCTGGCATGTTAGTTATAGACTTCATTCCACTGTGCTTCCCATCGACTGCTGATTTGCGTTTGAGTTTGTGCTTCTCCTTATCAACTTTCTCCTTCCCAGGCTCAGGTTTTGTGTGGCTAACAATTGAATTGAAATTTTCAATTACAGATTCAAAACTTTTTACAACTGATTCAAAATTCTCATCAGTATTTGACTTGCCTTTCTGTCTGAACTTCCTTTTGGGAATTTTACGCTTGAAGGTGTTACCATTATCTGAATCTGCTTCCCCATCAGCAGATGTGTCTCCATGTGGTGTGCCTATGTTACTCGACAGCAATGTGAGCTCGTGAGGGTTCAGCTTGCGGCGGCGCTTGTATTTACGTGGCCCCAACTTTGGCATCCGTTGCTTTGCAGTGTTCTCGTCACTGTGCTGAATCAGATGCACACACAACTGCTCTGAACTGCTGAAAGCTGCTGCACACACTTTACAAACATAAACAGCTGAGTGATTGCCAGATGTCCTTGGCTCTGGACCCGAGTGATGTGAACGAATATGTTCCCTTAGTACCACCTAAAAGAAATTAAGTTGGTGTCATCACACTCAAGTAAAAACATCACCAACACTGGAATAAACTATTCATGAGAATGTGAATAATTATGAGAAAAAACTGTAGTTATTTTACAATTTATCTGATATTTGTCACAGTTTACATGTGTCAAATTCACATACTGCTCATTTGTTAACTATGACGTTAATCTGGCCAGCAATCTTGTAGTATGGAGTTTTAAATCTCCTGTTTTCACACAATAAGGCAATGTCCTATGTAAGCGATAACAAGCGAGCTACCCGAGCTGCATAAGCAGCATGGGGTGTCATATGAAGCAGGGAATCGCTTGTCGTGTCCTACGTGAGAGACCGCAATAGAAGCACACGGCCTTCCTGAGTGTGCGCCTTCCGTGTACTGCACGGTCAGAGCTTTCTTGCGCATGCGCCTTACTGGCCAGCGCAGCGACTCGCGCGAAAATATCAAAAATATTTGATCTTGGACTTTGGCCGCTTCCCTCTCCTGACCGCTTTGCTGGAACCTATGACAGCGCCACACAAACAGCCAGTTTGATATTTTCGCTTCACCCACGCAATTCGCACTGCTTGCATTTAATCGCTCACGTAGGACACCGGGTAAGGGTTAAGGTGTTCACATGAGGTATGTCATGGTTGATTAATGTTAGGAATTCAAGGTAACAACAAGCAAGGGAAGTAGCATTTGTTATGTATGCTTCAAAAATACCCACTACATGTGAAAACTATACAGTTTACAACACATCTTATCCTTTCAATAAAGCAAGTATGAGCAGTCATAACAAATCTGGCTAATAAGATTTTGCTGCATCAGGTACTTCATTCCTAAATTTGCTTGACAGGAGAAAATGTCAGCAGCCTTCCTCCACAGTCTGGTATTAAAATTAGCAGAGACAAAAATCAACAAGTATGATATGGTCCTAGTTTCTGAATGCCAATTAAACCAAGTGATCTGACTCACCCGCTGGTTGAAGGCACGAGGACACACAGCACAGGCATAAGGTTTCTCCCCTGTGTGGATGCGTTCATGTTTGCGTAATGTGCCACCATCAGCAAATGCCTTCCAGCAGAAGCGGCATCCATATGGACGCTCGCCAGTGTGGATACGTGCATGGATTTGTTGACTGCTGCGTGACCCAAAAGTCTTGCCACATTCTGCACATGAAAATTGGCGTGCTGATGGTTCTTTGTTATGGCTGTGGCGATGGTTTATAAGTGCACGTCCATCAGGAAATTCCAAACCACAATCTTCACAAGACACTGCTTTGTCTCTATGAGAAACCATGTGCCTGTGTAGAAAACACATAAACAATTTATAACAGGTCTATGCAACATTTTAGAAGGTAGCCAAGAGTTCAGTTTACCACACTGACAACACTGCAGAATGGTTTTGGGCCATACAAAGAGAAATAGGATGGTTTTGGACCCTCCTATGAAGAACGATGGCAATGCACCTCATTTCAAACATTTTTATTTCAAGAAACAACATCTATGCTTACCTTTTAAGACGCGCACGACTGTGAAAACGTTTCCCGCACTTGTGGCAGGAAAAGCTGCGTTCAGCTAAGTGAACCCAAGCATGTTTCTGGAGTGAGCGACGATCTTTGCAAGTTTTACCACAGAGGGTGCAGGCATTGGGTGGGATGCTACGAGCATGCCGTCGGCGTACATGTGCAGCAACAGCTGGTGCATCCAAAAAACACTCGCCACACAGCATACAGCGATGTGGCTGGTAGCGCGCATGTGTTTCAACATGTGCCAAAAGGTCGCTCTGCCCGGGGAAGTCCTGACCACACACTTGACACACGTGCGTTGCCATGCTACTGTTTGGCTCAAACTTGATATGGATTCTGTACCAAAAATAAAGCTTTCTTAAAATTTAGAAATTTAAAGTGTTACAGTTATGAAACATCCTAGAAAGATACCAAGTGATAATTGGAGAATTTATTAAAATGGGTCTTAAGGAAATAAGGTAAGAGAATATGAACAGCATTAGACTGGCTCAGGATGATGTCCAAATGTCTGATGGTGATGATGACTGGCATGAACACTCAGGAGCCATATCAACAGAAATCTTCTTGATTAGCTGAAGAACTAGCAACTGCTCATGGCAAAACTCTGTACCATGGAGTAAGTAAATATAAACAGAACTCAACTGCTCACCTAGTGCAGAGGTTCTCAACCTTTTCAGACATGGGGTCACATTCACCCTTTATTGACTCACAGGCCACCAGGTTATAAGAGAGAAACATTTATTAAATTCATGGCAGATTATTAAATATGCTTTCTGATATCAGCATCATACACCTGACAAAATATAGAAATGTGTGCAGGAAACACAGCACAGCTGCAGATTAAGAACCCCTGAACTAGTGGAAGACTTCTCACTTGATAATGGCGACAAAGCCATGCATTTCAAAAAGACGGGAAGTTTCTTCAAAAAATAAATATAGCACCTGTCCACTTCTAAAGGAATACCATATGCAGTTAGCCCTCGATTTGCGCCGATTTTGAAACCAGAAAGTCAAAAAGTGGAAAAAAATATTTTACTATTATTTATAACGTTTTAAAATCTCTCTCGTACTGCTTCTTATACTAAATCATAATTCTTACATCGCTGATTTAATGCACACAGATGAAGCTATCTTTCTTTGTACTATTAGAAGACATGCTTTCTGGCAATTAAAGCTTCCTCCTTTCTTGAAAACTATTTTAAGAGATCCCAATAGATGGCAGAAGCTACCACGACAATTATTTCGCTAATGTATCTGTCATTTCAGATGTATGGCCAGAATAATGATGTCAGAACATAATTATGGAGAGCTGCCAGTTTTTGAACAAATCAGTTATGCCACAAATTTTACAAAATTATTCATTAAGAGGTTAGACATGAATAACATTTACTGACCTGCGGTGACGTTTGAGAAGATCCTGTCTATGGAAACCAAGGCCACAAGTCTCACAATGGAACTCTCCAAACCGATCATCACCCGTGTATGGTCCAGACACATCTGACTCATCTCTACTTCTTCCAGCATGTTTAGTGCGTGAATGCTCCTTTAACAGTCCAACATCCCAGAACATCTCCCCACATGTGTTGCATTCAAATGGGCTGTCACCAGCATGAACCCTTGCATGCGAAGCAAGCGCCTTCTCACGTGCGAAACCCACACCACAATGCTGACAAACATAGGGGCGACTTTCATCAATGACAGGCCAACGAGGTACAGTAGGTTCTTGTGGCTCCATGCTAGGAGTAAAAGTGGGAGGTGGTTGTGACAATAGTTTCATATCTTCATCTACGTAACTGTAACTTCCACTACTACTGTTCCCCAACTTTTTGCGGGATGAAGTATTGCTGTAGTTGGATCTTTTAAAATCTTTAGAGTTGAGGCTGTCATCCTCCTCGAAGTAACTACTGCCCTGGGTTGCCATAGTAAGATTTTTCCGTTTCTTTGGTGCTGCTGACTGAGCTTTCTTCCGCCTCCCCTTCATTGAAGCAGTATTGTTATTGTCGTGTGAGTTGTTTGTTGGGACATCTTGCTCATCATCATCACTACCAAGGTGTCCTGGAGCATATGCATGTATTTTCATGTGGTTAATAAGATCACATTTTCGACGATACCTTGCCCCACAAAGGTTGCAGCCATGTGGACGATCAGTTTGGTGAGCTAACATATGGTTCATAAGATTTGCTTTCTTACGAAAACGCCGACTGCAGAAATCACATGGATAAGGGCGCATTGTTGTGTAAGTATCTTGATCTTGTGGTAGAGGTATCTCAACTTCATCAGTTTCTGCTGTGGGGTTGCATGCCACCTTCAATTCCACCAACTGTTGACTGTACCAAAACAAGTAAAACAAAATTATAATAAAGCATTACAGAACCCAAAAATTAAAATAGGCTTCTTCTGAAACATTATCATTTATTTATGTTTTCTAAACATGCATATTTTAATTTAACTTCTATAATTATGAGGCTACAAAAAAGTTAGATAAATTGATTCATGGCATGACTCCACTCAATTGCTGTGGTTATATATTTATTTGTGAGTTACTTAATAATACCGTCAGAACTCAGACTATACAGCACAAAGTATTAGAAACGGTTGTGAAAAGAAGTTTTTTAATCCAAGGTACTAATTCAGCACCACAATTTTTGGAAATATGTAAAGTAGCATATAGCTAGAATTTCTTTATGAATAAATTCGAGGACATCTATTGAGTACTAAAGCACAGAGGACTAACATTTGGTGCTTAAACTTACTTCCAACTTTATAAAATTTAATTGATATCTTATAGGTAGAACATTTCACTTTTGTCCATGTTGATTAAACATGGAATGACTCATATTATTTCACTGTTCCTTTTGACATCAATACTAAATATTTTCTTACCTTTCATCATCTAATGGTTGCCCATTATCCCATGTTTCACATATAACTTCTTCCTCAGTTACTTGTATGTCCAGAAAATCCTGTTCAGGGAAGGTATACTGCACTATTTCATTAGCCTGTTGCTGAGGCATGGTGGAGACAATATTGGCATTAGGAAATATCACACAATCATTTTCAACTCCACAAATCATTTCACCATCTGCTGTACCTGGACCTCTCCAGTTAGAATTATCAATATAATGTACCACATTTGGCACCTCTGCCCCCTCATAAGGTTGTGCCATTTCACATTTGTGCGATTTGTGTTTCTGACATTATCTGTAACATTAAATAATATGTTGAGGGAAACCATAAATGTTATCATATTTTAGAGAGTTTGTAATAAATGCAGACAACAGCAGCATGATACAAACACTTCTCAAACATTAAGTACCTCTGGGTTATAGATGTGTCAATTACCATAGCTAAGTCACAAACAGTACCTTCAAATTTACACACATAATAATGCCCAAAAACTCTAGGATATTCTTTCTCTCAATTTCATTATGACAAGTCTTTCAAAATATACTGTCACATCAAAGTACAGTTATATAAGGTCTTGAAATATGTATTTGTTGATATGTGGATGTCGAGCAAAATGTTTAAAATAAACATAAATCTAAAAATTATGCACATCTGTCAAATGACTACTCTATATTTACTGTCGTTATTAGTTGTCTTGAATAAATCTTACAATAAACTTAACCTCTACAACGAAGAACAAGTCAGACAAAAACTAACGATTACATTTTTACAACAATTAGTTAATATTCAGACACTTAAAAATATCTGAAGAGTAGATTATATGTCACAAAAAGAACACGAGAAAACCATAATGACCTTACACGATATTCCAGTTGCCCCTAACCTTTGTTTATTACAGACTTGGGAGTTAGACTCCATTTGCTACTTGTTTAACCTAAGCTGAAAACTAAAGCTTTGATAGGGTACACTGGTATATCATACAGCTCAGTAAGACACTTGAAAGAACAAAATGAAAAAATAAAATCTGCTGATATTATACGCCACAACTAACCTACGAATATAATAATTTAATGTGCTTCAAAACATACAAACCTAACCAAATTTTACGAAGAACAGCATCAACTTTCAACTGTTCTCGTGAACACTATTCAATAATTTTCATGCTTTTCACGATACGTGTAGCATACCATGATGAAAGAATATTTGACTTTGACGTTCATAGTATGGGACCATAGTATCGAATCTATATAATTATCATGTACATGGGAAACTAATTCCAGTAATTCCTTTTTAAAGTATTGTGTTTGTCATCTATAAATCACTTCCATTATTCACAACAAATTAATTGCTTAATTTCGTGTAGATGTACTTGTAATCTTGGTTTACATTCAATTTTTATTCTCTGGACAAGGATGTGCGCCTACGCAAAAGAATTACCGGGAAATGTGAGAAAGTCAAATTTTCAAAATACTTATTAGCATCAATTTGTGGTAACAATTGAGAAATTGCCCGACTTGTATTGAAAACATAGGTTTCATTATAACGTTCGTGAAAGTCCGAAAGTGGACATGCTCTGAGCCTTGTATATTTAATGTCGTATATGAAATGTCTAGGTTAGAATTTGATTTAAAATTCGCCAGAACTGTTCATAATGTATAAATATTGTGCACATTCATAAAATTTAACACCCGGGATGATCGATGTCAACCAAAGACTTTCTGAAATTACGAATGACCAACCTCCTCAACATATGGATTACTATATTCAACTTTAAGGTACTCTGTAACATAACTTGTGCTTAAGTGACCATTCGACTTAGAAGGATTTTGATAAATAGAATTATTAAGAATACAAATTCTGGAGAATATGGATTTGATCATGGACAGTTTTATAAAATATAATCGTAAACAAATCTTTATCATTATGTGTTGTTAAATGAGATATGTACCTCTACTTACTGCATATGTATGTAAAGTTCTCTGTATATTTGAAAACACAGTCTTGTCAGCTTAATGCAAGTTTTATATATATATATATGACAACTATCATTGTGCGGTTCATCACACTGGCTGTAGGGTAGACTTCTGTGTCATTTTCTGAAACAGTTACACTTTGAACTGTGAAGCCTCATGTAAATGATGAGCTTCCCTTAGAAATATTATAAGTGAGCATCATGTTGTAGATGAACATCATATCACATTAGGAAGAAATGACAGTGTATACACAATTGTAGTTTCATATTTTAACTCTATACTTGCTGATAAAAAGCTTTTTTTGTTGTTTAATCTGTCATTATTTTGTAATATGAGGTAAACATGTTTTAAATAAGATGATCTCTGATAAATGGTGATAAGCAACTGATAATTAAAAGCCTCTCTCCTAGGCTTACCCAGTGGATACCAGGGTCTGGTGGCTCTTTCCATGGGCTGCATATGCAACTATAGTGTGAGGAATCATTTAGGTTCAACAGTAAGAATGCTTGGAGCTTTTATGGTATACCACCACTTGAAGGCACTGTCATAACATAAGCAGACTTGCAACTGACAATTTTGTGAAGATAAATGGCTAGTATATAATTATTTATATTAAGTGTACCATAAGACTATGGGTGAATGAGTTTAGTTAAGTGGCTAATAATTTATATCAACATATCAAGTTGAAGCAAATGCATACAATTTAAATCACTGCATGTATTTATCCCCAACCTACAGTAATTCTGTACTTTGATGTTTAAGAATTGCACTTTTCTTTCCTACAAGTGCTAACATTTTATGCATCAAGATTATTTTTTGTTCCTTTCCAATAATGTAAGAGCATATTGCTGAAAATTCTTATAAAAATGAGATGATGGAACAGTTTTAAAACATATACTTCCTGCTGTTTCATACCGATGAGATAAAACGTCAAATAGGCAATGAGGGTCGTATACAAATAAATCAGCTACATGTATATCTTCTGAGTTCTGTAAGCTATCATCAAGTATGAGAAGCAGCTATATTTTATTTAGCGTTCTGTCTGGCGACAGGTCCATATGAACAGGATCCTTCGATCCTTTTCTCGGACTGGGACCTGTTCATATACGTTCTTGGCAGATGATCCACAAGTGGTTTGCCATTGCCTTCTTCTGTGTGTGAATGGAGTAATTGTTGGGATGCCACGGAGGAAAACTCCGTGTTGCCTAGACCACGGCCTTGCCCAACACAAGTTATAAATTCGGGCACTGCCGGGAATCGAACCTGAGACCCCAGGATTACAAGGCCAGCGTTCTAACCGCTCGACCACCGTGGCGGTAGAAGCAGCTACAATGCAGTAAATCATTTGGCTCCTCCCTATCATGCATATGTTAATTGGACAAGTATAAACGTCGTAGTTCCCAAAACTACCCAGCCCTTTCACGCTTTGCTGACCTCTGAATAAGCCCACGACAGTACAGTGAAAGTGTCCAGCTTCAATACACGTAAACCCTAGAAGAAAGTGGAAGCGGACAGAAACAAAATGACAAATCTTATGTACAGATTGCATCTTATTTTGATTCAATCATTTTCTCATACACTTTCAGATATGCACACAACAAATATATAATATTCAGTTATTTACATAATTGATCATAATGATAACTTGGCACCTATATTATTTTAATTAATATTTAGGTCTCTTTCACAGCCATCCAGACGGAACATTTTGTCTGATCACCTCTTTGTGCTTTCAATCCATCTCAGCTTGAGCCAACGGATCCAGCCCCATTGGAAAGCTGTTGTGTGGGACTTGTGTTAAATGTAAAACATATTGGCACATAATATATATTCGTAATAGTAAAACTTTTACTTTGACTGGAAACATGAATTAGGTAATCTTCAAGAAATACCTATATTTAATACACACCATACAATATCTGCCCTCAATTTAACTGTATGATTAAACTGTTTAATCTTTGAAAGGTAGCACCATTTAGATCGTTTCTTCACACTTGCAGAGTGATAATTTCTTACCAGTCACCATCAAGTGTAGGCACGTGAAAACACATATCACATATGGTAACTGAAACATTTTGAATTAACACTTCACTGTGATTTATGAATATATCTCCAACTGGCTCCTGTCCTCCACTGAAACTGTATATGTACCAAACAAAAGTGTTTCACATGGATGTAAATCTGCCTCGCTATCTGATTATGAACAGCAGTCACCACTGTATCACCAGAAGCACAAAAACAAAATAAAATGTATTAATTAATTTAACATTCAGAGGATTAATTATACAATAATTCCATGTCACAGGGACATTCTGACAGTCATTTAGTCATCCAAGAAATTCCTTGGAACTCACTAGAAAAGCACAACAAGGAAATAAATTCCAAGTCATTCATATAAGACAACAAGACAGTTTGTGGTGAAATGTAGTAAAATAAGATAAAAGGCATGAGAGATGAATTCTGTACATATTGGCACACCTTTTTATGTATGATTTTGCTAATGAAGCCATGCAGAGATTGAAAGTAAGATTTCAGTGTTCGTCTTCAGGGTTGTAATGTCATTTGGTCTTGTAAGTAGATACCTCTGTTTCAGAGAAACATTGTGCTGCAGATGGAGACAGCATGTCTACCTAAAAGTTCATATGGCATTACAACCCGGAAGACCAACGTCAACATTTTCGCCATGTAAACCTAAAATCTCATGTAATGGTAACATTGGTTTTTACATTCTTCTATAGTTCAACTGTTCCACCTGTAACATATCCAGGATAGGATACTTGATGCAATAAAACCCTTTTTGATATTGCATTGCCTGGCTTTCCGCAGATCTGGGATTTCCTACTTTGGCAATCTCTTAAATATTCAAGATCAATAAGAAACCGTGAGCTCTATAAACAATATACTGGAATATATGAACTAAAATGTTTAGAGAATAATGATGACATCCAATGGTTGAGTTCATATAGCAAAAGAGGTAATATTCCTGTTATCTGGGTCATCTCAGCATCTTTGGAAGCGGGATCAGGAGCGAGGAAGGTCAGTATAAGTCAAAATAACATCTCTCTTTTTGTACAGACAGTTCGAGTAGCGCGTGTGTGTAACAACGGAGCAGACAAAGCCATGAAGAAAATTACAGTGAACACTTCCCACGTCATCCTGGCGCATAAACCAAGCCAGTACAGGCAAAACATTACTATGGAGTGCAGACACCATGTAGTGTGGCACGGACAATAGTTCAGCGGGTTTAAACATTTTCTGCGGTGTTAAAATTCAGTTTCTTCTAGCGGTAAACAACGAGAATTATAAACGTGAACAATCAGAAGCATGAAGAATGACATCTCATCTCAGTTTCTATGTTGCCACTACTGATTAATTTGAATCATAACGAAATGTTGATACACCATCATTACCAAGCTAATGACCAGATGATTCGCTCCTCCTTCTCAGATTTTGAAGAAGTGACACTGATATGCACTTCATACAATGCTTTCTTTCTCGGACTGCAGGTCGCCATAACCCTGTCTATGAATACCCTTCCTCAGAGAAGCGTCACTGCTACGCAGTCCATTGCCATTGAAGAGACTGAACAGCCAGCTACGAATTGAACCTCGCTTAGACTTTTTTCCATCTTCTCCTGCCACTACAGCTGTTGAGTCTGATCCTGGAACTTCTTCAAGCGAGTGCCATCGTTTGGCTGGCATTAAATCTGGGAATGCTTCCTGTCTTAAGATAGGATAATTGTTAATGTCACTTCCCAACAGAGGTGCCCGCACATCTTCAGCACTAATGTCCCCTCTGGCAGAGACTACATCACCGTTCGGATGATTGTTATTTATGAGATGTCTACTGTCAACAGATGTGGGCAGTTTACCCCCACTGCTGCCCATGCAGTTTTCCAGTGAACGTGAACCCTTCGGGAGCTGAAGTGTTATTTGAGGGGATAGATCTGTGTGTCCATCGGGAAATGGATCTAGTGAACGGGACTCTCGTATAACCTGGTGATGTCTCGGTGAAGATAACTGCTCCATGGAAGCACTTTCTGCAGCACCAGCATCCAAAGTTGTCCGTGATGCAACTGAAGTGGGCGTGTCAGCTGGTGGGGGAGCAGATGCATGAAGTCGGAATCGTCCTCCGCGGGTTGCCGGGCTGGAGTTGTGAAGGGAGGATGTGCTATCATGCGCCTCCGTCCCCGCAGTACCCCGCGGGACACTGGACTGCCGACGACTACCTCCACAGATTGACGCCTGCCTGGAGTCTGCATTCAGTTTAGGACTTCTTCGAGGTCGGCAAAACAAGGGCGGAAGTTCTGCAAGATCAACCTGCAGACAAGGTTCAAGAGTTGGAACAACTACTCTGTGCACCACTGGAGATGGATAAATGTACTGCTGCAAAACAGGGACTGGAATAGACAAAGAAACAAATCGCACGGCAGCTTTCAATACGGATCATCAGTGGCATATTTCATGAAAATGAATTACTGAAACATGCAGAGTGATGTACATAATTTTCCAATTTGGTATCCATTTTATGCACTTCTCTATGTGTACACGTAAAAAAACATTACATGAGCTTGCTGCCTGGAATTATACGTACTTCACGTTTCTGGATGGCTTTCTCGGTTGCTCCCACCAGCCAAAAAGTATTCACTGCTCCTTTGCCCTTCATCTGGACTAGACCTCTTTCTTCCATGATGTAGCCCCCAATCTTGTCTAGCGCATCTCTACACTGTGGACTAATATGGATCTTGAGGGGTTCACCGTTTGACTCCATGCGACTGGCGGTGTTCACCGTATCGCCAAACAAGCAATAGCGAGGCATGGTGAGCCCGACCACCCCAGCTACTACAGGTCCTGTGTGGATGCCGATTCGAAGCTTCAGAACTTCATTGGGGCGGTGTGCGATATGATGATTACGAACAGCTTCTAATAAATCTAATGACATCGATGCTATTTCACCAGCATGCCGATCACCATTCCTGATGGGAAGACCTGACACCTGAAAGCAGGAAAATTTCAGCTGAAATACAGAAACTCTGCTGTTGGAAGCCCAGTCAATTTTAGCAATATCACACAATAAAGAAGAGAACAGCAAATGATCTACCTAAATTAATGGAATCACAGAAGGTAGTTACATGCAACATCTAACGACAAGAGATGTTTTGAGAGAGAAATCTTTTGTCGTTTCGTGGCATGACATTATGTGACCCCAGTCCGATAGAATAATGCATACCAAGAATAAATGACTGAAAACTGACAAATTTAATTTGTAAATTACTTAATAAACTTGTACAAAATAAAAGTAAAAACACAACCTGTACATGCCAAACTACAATTCTATGCTGTAATATACTTCCAACCTCACTTAATGGTACCTGCACCTTGTCGTGGTGGTGGGGCTCGAGTACCTCAGTGACCCCAAGAGCTACTGGGGGAGAGGTCAGACTAAGACAGGTACCCTGGTCCTCCAGGTTGGGGGTTGGTCGCAATGCGAACAACCTTGCACCGTAAAAAGGAAGATGTTTTGAAACCTCGATCAAAGCCTCGGACAGACGGACCTAACAGAGGACTGAACGGAAGAGGAGAATCGAGGAGGCCAAGGACCGAATACGGACCGGAGAGAAGAAGAATATACTTCCAATGTCACCTATTAGCTTCATCAGGGAAGATCTACTCAGAAATTAGAGAAACTTACCACCATGTAAGCATCACCAATAGTTTCTACTTTGTACACGTCATAGCCCTTGATGATCCTGTCGAACAGTGTGTACAGGTCATTCAAGAAATTCACCACCTGAAATAACAGATACAAAGTTTCCGTACGCTTTCAGACGTCCATTCATTTTTAAATTTCATGCATGTACAGTATGATAGAAATAAAAGATAGCAGCGCTTGTCGATTGCCTGCCACACACAGCGAACATTCAGAAGTGAAACTTAGGACAACTGTTACTGATTTGTAGAAAATATTATCATAAGCAACCGTAAAAAGTTTATGCGATGCAAATTTATGTGGTATTAATTAAACACAAATGAAAATCATTATACACAAGGCTGGGTGGTACTCGAAGCTATTCTGGATGTAGCTGCGATGATAAAAATTCCTTGCTGGGAACTTACTCTGGTCATCCAGCCTGCAAAAATTAATTTTAATAACTCAAATAATATCTTAGCTAAATTATACTGTACTTTAAAAATGGAAAGGCTTGAAAACAATCTATTATTTTATCATGTACAGAGATTTTCATAACAGAACATCAATAAGTTGTCTAACCTGTTTCATACTAGGCTGTGTTCTTGGGGTATTCTCCCCCAACATGTATACACTTGTACCGTCCTTGTACCATTATTTTTACGACAGGTTTACAGCAAATGGAGAAGAGACAAAATGAAAATTCTGAGCCAAATTTGAACATGGTCCTTACCTGCAACGGCGTGCTCTCGGCCGACATAGCCGTGAAACCGACGATGTCGCTGAAGTATATAGTGACTAAATCGAATGACTCGGGTTCTACTCCAATTCCTTTGGTTAACTGTTGTGCGACTGGTCTGTAATAGAAACAAAGTCTCACAGGCACGAACTCCTTTAATTCTTTCCACGCTGACGCATTTAGCGCGCGCAGGTTTTCGATTTTAAAACTTATAAATTCAGCTTGGAGGTGCTGAAAATGGTTAGCTGAAGTACGAAGAGATGGCGGCACAAGTTTATTTACACTTACGCTGGCAGCATTCTGTTCAAGAGGTCCTCCGTCTTCTGCTTTTCTTCTATGAGAAGTCGAGTCCTCTCGCTGACTAGATCCTCCAGGTTGTTGGCATACTTTTCCATCATGTCCATCATCTGGTCCATGATGTTTCGATGCCTGAAAAAGAACCGGTAAGAATCGGAATTTCAAGGCGACTTTAAGAGCTTAACAGTCTGAGGCCAAAGCTCACTCAGTAATATTTCCTGCGACACTCACATTCCTTCCTTCATCTTTTTTAGACGTGAGCGAATGGCTACGAAGTCAGGTCGCATGTCTGGGTTCTCCGCCCAGCAGTCCTGCATGCAGGACAGTATGTACTCCGGACACTCCACATTGCCATCTCGCAGCAGCTCCAAGTCTGGCCTGAATGATTCCTGACCTGGTGACGGTACCTGCCTCACCTGGTTCACGATCTCTGTGAAACAAGAAAGGTAACTAAACTCTTTGATAATAAAAGCATACAGCAATAATTCTAATTTTTTATGCAAACTAACGACTTGACATTCATTCTTCCACCCATTTATTTATCTAAAAGGCACGAGTGATATTTGGGCGTGGACAACATACCTTTGGGTTCGTAATGCGTAATGCCGAACGGACCTCTCCGCCCGATGATTTCATAGAGGATGATGGCAAAAGCGTAAACGTCAGCCTTCTGGGAACCGCTGGGAGTGATGTTAGGTTCACGAAGCAACTCGGGTGCCTTCCAGAACAAATCTGCGATCAGCCAACAGCGATGTAATTAATTCACGTACAAAACAAATAACGCTCAAGTAAATGGGAGAACTCGCAGAGAAATTAGACAGAAATTTGTTACTGCAAAACATTAATCCTAAAAGTTCAAGGCACGTTTTTTGTACCGCCAAAACTGGTCTGTCCATGGTGGAAATTAGAAAAAAACCTTGCTGGTAGTTGCTCAGCTAGTCAGAAAATTACCCACTGCCTGTGGAACCCAAAGGTTCATAGGTCAGAACCTCCCACTGGGCCCTATCCTGAGCCAGGTAACGCAGGCTGCAGCAAGGACTTACTTCGGTAATACTGGTGTTCTCCGATGCTGTCGCTCTCTGCACCGTGCCTCAGGTCATGGAGCCCGAAATCTGTGATCTGAAGCACCCAGCGACTTGTCACGACACAGTTGGACGACTTAAGATTGCCGTGGAAATCCAGTATGGAGCCGTGAATGTACAGCATGCCCTGCCGAACAGTATTGCCACTGTTACAGCTCAGAAAGGTTCAATATTTAATGGTAAGACTTAATCAGTGCACTTACCTAAACTCAAGATCAGAGGTTTCAAAATAATTTTTTTTAAAAAATCATAAACTGTTCTATCGACAAACTATTGTATTATTTTGTTCAACGTAAGATTTGAAACTTTCACATTGACATGACGCAGTGATCATTGTACTGTTGTACCATATGTTATATGGATGGCACTACATTAACTTCTTCTTCTTCTTCTATGGCTCTCTGGTCCGTATTCGGTCCACGCCCTCCTCAATTCTCCTCTTCCGTTCGGTCCTCTGTTAGGTCCATCTGTCCGAGGCTTTGATCGAGGTTTCGAAACATCTTTCTTTTTACGGTGCAAGGTTGTTAGCCTTGCGACCAACCCCCAACCTGGAGGACCAGGGTACCTGTCTTAGTCTGACCTCTCTATAAACACCATGTTTGTAAGTTCTGATTTCCACTATACACAGAAAGAAGTACAAATAGTTCTGATAAGAACTTTCTGAGTCTGACCTCTCTTTAAACACCATGTTTGTAAGTTCTGATTTCCACTATATAATGCAGTTGAAAAAGCATCATTAAATAGTTGGCTCTGAAACAGAAATAACTAGTTCCCGAAATGCAGACTCTTTTCTGACCAAGAGATATGATGGGGTTCTCATGGCAGTGAAGATGTTGGTATTGGTCTTACGGGTCGTTACGCCATGTATACTTGGATGTAAATACCAAAGTTTTCGAGGAACGTACTGCAGCCATCTTTAGTCAGGAAAGCTAGCAATAGCTGGGGGTTCGTCGTGCTGACCACACGTCACCCTATATCTGGTTAGATGATCGTTCACCTCTGCTTAGGCATGTGAACGTGAGGCCAGCAGTCAAGCTAGTCGGCTTTGGCTCACTGGAGCTGTTACGCCATGGATTAAATGAATTTTTAATCATATTTTCCATGTTGCACAAATAATTGTACGCTTCATGCAAAAAAGAAGATAAATTGGCAAACACTCGTCATAGGAAGCTTGTATTACTTATCGTAGGATCAAATTTTTCAGTCTGCTAACCTTAATGAGATCGTGAACTAATGACGCCATGAACATCATGTCCAGCCTGATATCTTCATTCTCCACAATATCCTGAAAGCAGAACGAGCAATTTCAAGTAACTGTTAGGTTAGGTTAGGTTAGGTGAATCAACTAGTGTATGGAATCAGTGATCATATAAAGTTGTCATCATCATTGATAATAATAATCCATTCAATTCCCATTTTTATGTGTTGAATCAACAGCTACAGGAGCCAATTATACATTTGGCACAAGAAAATCAAATCAAAACAAAGTGCAGATATAATTATAAACAATAAAGAGAAGAAACAAAACTAACCTAACCCAACCTAACCTAAGCTAAGCTAACCCAACCTAAACTAACCTAACCTAATCTTACATAACACAACCTAACCTAACTGAAGCTAACCTAATCTAACGTAACGTAACGTAACCTAAGCTAACCTAACGTAACCTAACTTAAGCTAAGCTAACCTAACCTAACCTAAGCTAAGCTAACCCAACCTAAACTAACCTAACCTAATCTTACATAACACAACCTAATCTAACGTAACGTAACGTAACCTAAGCTAACCTAACGTAACCTAACTTAAGCTAAGCTAACCTAACCTAACCTAAGCTAACCTAATCTATTTTTAAAGCGATGTGTCCCGATAACCCACAAGTACCGAAAATTACAAAAGAGAACTTTCAACTCAGGAAAGTAAAATATTTAATGTTTTATGAAACATAATTCAAACATTCTGAATTTTCTCATCGAAATCGTAATTTACCACACCACGTAATTTAATGTTACGCTCACAAATAATTAGCATATTTGTAACTCACGTAGAGACTGCCTTTGGCACAGTAATCTGTGATGATGAGGACGCGCATGGGCTCGAGGCAAGCGCCGATGAACGAGTTGATGTTGTCGTGTCGGATATCACGCAACAAACGCATTTCCTTCATCACATCACGGGCGATGTCCTTCTTCTTAGAGAACTTAAGTTCCTTGATGCGCACCATCACACCTCTGTACTGACCGGTTGCCGCGAAGACCTGCGCCCCGCACCGCGACTCGTACGACGTTGCGCTAACCAAGCTAATCTGCAAAGGAATGTCATGGTGGTCGCTAGAATTTCCGGTCTCTTAGAAGTTTACCAGCGTTACAGAAGTTCTCGCTGCCTCCATCATCAGGGCAATGACTCATTGCCCTGATGATTATATGCTGATAAACTTCTAAATCAGTGGTCCCAAGGCTTTTTTTGGGTGCCCGCGTTGTTACGTAAAGAATTTCCAAAATAAATTAACAAATTTTCATGATGAAAGCCACTTCTGAAACAAATTGTCGGTGGAACCACGGTTCCGGAGAATTTGACGTAAATACGTCTATACGGAAAGGAAGTTTATATATTGGCTTTATTCTAAATATTTCCTTTATACATGCTTTACAATTGAGTAAAGTTTGATTAAGACTTTGCTTATTTAACTTGAATTAGTTACGCTTAAGATGGGTCTGTGGTAGCTGAATGTAATGTAATGAAATGTAATGTTTTATAGGTAACAACAATTCCGAGTAAACACGACGTTCCCTAGGTACACTTGTTACACTTTTTCGCCGAATGACCCTTCCTTATAGACGTATTTACGTCAAAAAATACATAAAAACTTAGCAGGAATTGGATTATTTTCGTCAGGTCAACACGTGACGGCACTAACCTTGCTTGGTGACGAGATGATGTCGTTGTTACAGTACCCGTGTAAATCCTGAGGATCTATCTTCCACAACAACCCCTCGATCTCCTGTTCTATCTTCCACTTGCGGTAGATCGAGAGTGTAATGACGCCTGCGCAGAAGAGAAACACGGCCAGCGTGGCCGCGGCTATCACGCTCGTCTGCTGCTTGTCACTCTGACACCGCTCGTGCTCGAAGCCACAGCTGGGTTCGTCGTCCGGCTTTCGACCACCGGGCCAATCGATGTGGCAGTCGAAGTCCGAGTCCGAATCCGAGTCCGGCTTGTAAAAACAATCTGGCTTATATTCCTGAAAACCAATTCCGATATTAAGTCCGCAAAACCCACACGTAAGACGTCACATCCATAAATCCGATTAAATATCCCTTTTGAACGGATAGCACTGACATTTAATATTTACGAGGACCTGGGTTGAAATCTTGGTCAGAAAACCTATCACCCTAACCGAGGTTACATTGGTTTTACTCAGTCACTCCCGGCAAAGTCTGGAATGTTAGGTTAATTTGGGCCGTGATCGATCATTTCCTTCCAAATCCTTCAAAATTCATTTTTTTTTTATTTATTTAGTGTTCTGTCTGACGACAGGTCCATATGAACAGGATCCTTCCATCCTTTTCTCGGACTGGGACCTGTTCATATACGTTCTTGGCAGATGATCCAGAAGTGGTTTGCCATTGCCTTCTTCTGAGTGTGAATGGAGTAATTGTTGGGATGCCACGGAGGAAAACTCCGTGTTGCCTAGACCACGGCCTTGCCCAACACAAGTTATGAATTCGGGCACTGCCGGGAATCGAACCCGAGACCCCAGGATTACAAGGCCAGCGTTCTAACCGCTAGACCACCGTGGCACTCAAAATTCATTATTATTCAATAAAGAACTCTTTACGTCAGAAATGCTTCCAGTAATTTAAAATAGAAACGATAGTCAAGGATTAGATTCACGCATTAGCGCTGACAACAGTTGCAAAGGGTTGATATGATAATCCACGCGAGAAACAGATGAACTTACGGGGTTCTCCCCCTGCTGGAAACCTGCCACTGGTCGTATGAAGTAGTCGCACGTGAAGTTGTACATACTCGTATTGTACACGTAGCGGTAAGGCTTTAGTGCAGCCACGGAGAAGTTGCCTTCCGAATCCCCATTGTGGTCCATTTTGATAGACGACCCTGTAATACCTAGGAAACAAAACTGCCATAAAATAAGATACCAAAAGAGAGGGAGACCGAGACCAGGATGGAACGACGGAATTACAAGAACCATGACAGTGGAAACCAACTCCGGAAGAATGGAAGAAAATATTAGGCACCGGAAGACCGGAGTAACGGAATTATAAACAAACATTTCAAGTCCATTTGTCTCTGCAAGAAACAATCCACACGTAAAATAAATAAAAAAACAAACAAACAAACTAAAATGCCATTTTGTAGGTTCGCTGAATGAAAATAATGGTAAGACGGATTTACAAATTCGTATAATAAACCATACACTCACTTTCGTACGTATGATTCTTCAACATCTCAACGATGAGCGTCCCATTCCTGGCAACACTTCGCAAAATTTCTTCTGTGACGTAATCGTACTTCTTAAGAAGTTTGTCCAGAGCTCGAGCGTACAACATCACGGCGTCGTACAGGTAGGCCGCGTAGATCGACACGTACTGCAAATATATTTACGAACATCGTAATAAATATTCTTCGGGGTACACGGAATTTCACGACTGACTCGAGAGAAGGACTTTGTTCGACGGGGTTAGTGACAGCGGCTGGCGAAGTCAGCGTATGCAGACAGACCCCGAATTTCAAGTCTCGGTCTATAATAATGCCACAGTAAATATAAACGCCATATTTCCACCGGTAACTTACCTTGTGAAAGCCGTCATTCTCCAAGATACTTGGCATCGTAAAGTAGAAAGGTTCCTTCGTATTGTACGCCGAGACTAGGTTAGTAAATTCTGTGTATCGAGCTTCATTTGGCGGGCTGGAGACGACGACGAGCAGCGATCGGCCACGATTTAAAAATCCCTTTTGATGTAGTTCACAATTTTCTACTCTTGACATCTGTTCTGGTTCTGCACGTATAAAATACACGACATTAAACGAACTGACGAAACATATTAAAACATAAAAATGCACAGGTAAACATTTTTTTTAAGAGTCTTGTACTAACACCAAAAGCCAGTCTGTCGCCAAAGAAATCTGCGAGGGTCTAAGAGACACCAACAGATCTGACGATGAATTCGGACACTTAATGGTCATCAAATGACGTACGTAATTATTTCAGTTACTTGAAAAACAAATCGATGACATGTTGATTTAGTTATGCTTCAAATGGAAGGCTGACTGTGGATTATGAACTGAAAAGTCCCTATTTTATAATACGATGGAAGGCGCGTGTTTGATAAGTGGCCTAAGAATACGGAATATTAAAATGGTTGGGACACTTACGCCAAAGATATTTGTACGCTTCTCTGTAAGAGTAGGTCTCCATGTCCACTGTGATGACCATATACTCGCCATTGTCGAACATCTGGAGTGCGTGCATCGTGTTCATCATCTCCACCAGAACCTTTGAATTTCCCAGGAAAACGTAGACTGGGAGAGAAAAAAACACACACCTAAAGGGAATTTCTTTACCAGCCGAATACATAAAACACTTTCCAAGCAATGGTCATATGGAATCACTACAGTTTTAGCAAAACGTGGTTCACAGGCTGAATATGTTCCTAATATAAAATGGACATTACAAAAAACATGCAGATGAGACTCACTGCGTGTGATGTTACGCGTGGACTGCATCACCTGGTACCAGTAGCTGGTCTGACAACAGGGAAGATCTCTTTCACAGCAATTGATGTTGTCATTCACGGCACGTTTATGTTTCACGGTCATGTTGTTACGAAGGGCTTGATCTTCGAGAGACATCGCTACTGGTTGCCAGTGATCTTCATACAGGATGACAAACTTCCTCCAATTATAGTAGCGAAGCAGCGATATGACAGACTTGGTCACCTGAATTTACCAGAATATGGTATGTGAGCCTTGCAGAAGATGTTTCCACTGATATTAGTACAAGAAACACGCGAGAGGATGGCATCAGAACTAATGTCAGGATTGTGACAGGTACTTATTTATTTTATTTAGTGTTCTGTCTGACGACAGGTCCATATGAACAGGATCCTTCCATCCTTTTCTCGGACTGGGACCTGTTCATATACGTTCTTGGCAGATGATCCAGAAGTGGTTTGCCATTGCCTTCTTCTGTGTGTGAATGGAGTAATTGTTGGGATGCCACGGAGGAAAACTCCGTGTTGCCTAGACCACGGCCTTGCCCAACACAAATTATAAATTCGGGCACCGCCGGGAATCGAACCCGAGACCCCCAGGATTACAAGGCCAGCGTTTAACCGCTAGACCACCGTGGCACAGACAGGTACTTAAATGCACTTTAATTGATCTGTTGAATAAACGCTGAAAATATCTGACCACAACCAAAACTGCACTCACCTGTGTATCTGGGGGTTCAGTTCTCGCAAACGTGTCCACTAAAGATGCCTCCGCGTCTTTACATTTCTGCAACACAAAATATGCAACCTCAAGAAAAGATGTCAAACTGAGAACCTGACGTCTCCTTAATGCTAGATCTGTAACTTTTAAAGTGAAAAAAAAAGTATATATCCATCCCACCATACGCCATGTTTACGTAGGTTTCGACTAACAAACAAACAGTACACTGAGCTTGTAAAGAAATTCCCCATTTGTTACGGGAGCCAAATGTTCATTATCGTGTTCACAAGAGCCCGCAGCCGATCCCCTTCCTGAGCCAGATTAATCCAATCCACTGGAATCCCTTTGGATTGAATACAGACTAGGTTACATATACGATGATGATCATCGACCTGATGATAGAGGCAGCATGACCTCTGAAACGTCGGTAAACCTCTACCAGACTGCACGGCCCAACAACCCAGAAGACAGTCAGCCCAAAGTACAGATTTAATAGCAAAGTACTTTCTAGAATGGACCATTCGCAGAATTCCATAGTTGGCGCAACACAGTTTGGGAATCGGTGAGCAACTAAAATCTTTCTGATTACACGAGTGGGAAAGTGCACTCTAGCGGAATAATTTTTGTAAACGCCACTGACCTCGGCGTTTATGTGTGTGTTGTAGACGAGAAGCTGATCTGCAGAGACAATTGACGACTCTTTCGTATTTCGTTAAACACACATTTAATCGAAAAATGGTTTCAGATTAAAGCTTTGTGTTCTACATATCGAAATGCTTCAGGGAGACATCGTGTACAGTGCAGAATATTGTATTACGACGAACCATGGTTTAGAAAACCGATGACTTTACATCTTTACATCATGTAAAGCAGATTATCTTTTTTTCCCGATAAGGACGAAAATCAAATTACAAAGACTTTAAAAGCAAACTAAATTTCATGGAAACTACTTAGCAATTTCGATAGAAAAAAAAATACTTAAAGTAAAACGAACATTAAGACCCCAAATATGTTTCTATACACGAGATTGTTTGAGAAAATCTACAGATAAGAATATCTGCACACAAGAGAGACGAAGTGACTGGAAACTGGAGAAAATTTCATAATGAGGAGCTTCATAACTCAAACTCTTCACCGAATATCATTATGAAGATCGGCCAATTGAGCGGAAAGGGCTGGGTTTATAGGCACCGGAGAGTAGCCGGAGTAGCTACTAGCCCTTTCCGCTCGATTGGCCGATTCATCGCCCTGATGATGGAGGCAGTATGACCTCTGAAACGTTGGTGAACATCGACCAGACTACACAGCGCAACAACCCAGAAGACAGAAATCTTCATACTCATCGCCCTGATGACGGAGGCAGTATGACCTCTGAAACGTTGGTGAACATCGACCAGACTACACAGCGCAACAACCCAGAAGACAGAAATCTTCATACTCATCGCCCTGATGACGGAGGCAGTATGACCTCTGAAACGTTGGTGAACATCGACCAGACTACACAGCGCAACAACCCAGAAGACAGAAATCTTCATACTCATCGCCCTGATGACGGAGGCAGTATGACCTCTGAAACGTTGGTGAACATCGACCAGACTACACAGCGCAACAACCCAGAAGACAGAAATCTTCATCCTCACCGCTGTGAAAACCTCAAATCTTACGAATATTATCATGTTGACTAAATCAGGAAGGATGAGATAGGCAGAGCATGTAGCGCGCATGGGGAGGTGAAAAATGCGTCCAGAAATTTGGTCAGGAAATCTTAAAACTTAAAGAATGATATTAAAAATATTTCGAAGAACAGAAGTTTGTGGACTGGATTCATCTGGATCAGGAAAACGACGAATTACGCAATCCTGATAACCCGGTAGCAAAATATTTACTTCCATAAAAGGTGCATAATTCTTTTTTTATCGTCTCCCTTACTGCTTCTCAAGGACTCCGCTGCGAACAGACACGGATATTGCACACTACACGTTTTATGGACTTTGTACGTACAATAAGCGCGTAATAACTTAAGATTTGCGAGATAAAAGATTGTCAAGGCGTTGAGAATAATGATGTTCCTCAGGGCTCTGACGTATTGTAGATTCGGAGAAATTCTGGCATCTACCTATGAATTTGCACGGTGTCATGACCGAGACGAACATGGTTCTCAAAATGTCTCGAGATTTTACCAAATAAACCTGACCTGCGCGAGACAATGAACAGCCCAGTCTCGAGCGCCAGTAGCGGACAACACGGTAATCACGTATGTACCCCTGGTAAACCCACCTTACCTGGACACGGGAAAATGGACTTTACCGACATCAACAAAATTTGAATTTCTAAATCGTCCTTCGTCGAAAGCAAGGTGATACACGTGCGTGGTATGAAGTGACAATTTGCACCGAAACCAAGGCGCCATTACAAAAAAAAACCAACCTTGATACGTTTCACGAACGCGATTTGCGTGATAGGACAAGTGGGGAGTCGTACAACTGTTTAATCGTAGAACCTTCTTATGACAGAATCCAAAGGCATCTAGAACTGTCAGACAGGCTTACATGAACAATGGTAAATAAACCTTGTACAGCGCGTACTTTATGCATTAAAAACCATATCACATGTAGGCAATCCATGTCACATACGTTACAGAACAATACACCCGTTCGAGTTCTTTTGTTCACTCTTTCATTTGCCTTTTTCCATAAATATTCTCTTCATGTTTTGCCGACGATCGGGGATCTTCGCGTTTGTGACAAGAATTTCCATTCTCAGATAAATTCCACGAACACAAGACTGCAGATAATCAACCATAGACCACATTTTGTTAAATTCGTGGCAGTAGTTTCACGTTTCGGCATTGCAAAACACAGACACACACGTGCATATAAAAGCCCGCTGAAAAGGTTAAGTCAGTTAGTTCCTGGCTACGGTCTGGAAGACAGGACTTCTATTCCCGGGAAGGGCACAAAATGTTCTCTGACATCTAACCTCTACGGGTCATTTTCACTGGCGGTAAAGTAGCCGGAACGTAAAGCTACAAAATATACAAATATTTTCATTATCTTTGCATTGGAAATATAGAGGTTATAACCATTTCTCAATGCCTACTTACTTCCCAGCCACCCTGTACTTTTTATATGGGCGTGAATCTTAGTTTCAAATTATGAAGGAACATTGACTAATGACATTAAAAACAAGAAAATATCTAAAACCTACAGCAAAATAAGACTCACATACACACAAAAATAAAATTTCAAACTTTGATTTACGTAATATCGGTACATATTAGTTTCGTTAGCAACAAATTTATATCTGGAGTCAAAGAGCATTTGATGAAAGAGACATTAATCGAAGCAAAGTTCGTGTTAGGAAAATACGTAACCTCCTCCTCTAAGTGATGTTTCTAGTCGCATTTGCATGTCACGCGAGACAGCAGATGGTAGCAAAGAGCAGTCTATTTATCGTCTGTCGAGGTACTACCAAGATAAATTCCAGTCCAGAGAGAAACTATTAATAGTCGTCGTGTGTTTAAGTTATTTGTCGTGTTACGAAATATTTTTGAAGATATGCTCTTTGCAACTGTGAACTCAGATTTACGTCGTGTTTAATGGCATTAAAATGGTGACATAACACCAGCATTAGTCCAAACTTTGATATTGAGAATTTTTTTCAGAGTCTCTACAGGCGAATGCCTCTAAGATAATGGGTACCCTGAAAC